CATTCTTTTAATCAACACCGATATCCTTGGCGAACTGTATTTATTGTTATACCTGTTTAGTTATTTGTTGCTAAGGGAAAGAAAGAATTTAATAATATATCAATAGGGGTGCCACAGGGGAGTAAATTAGGCCGTTACTATTTATCATTTATATAAATGATGTCTCTGACATTTTGGAGCACTGCAAAGTTCGAATATTTGCGTACGATACACTTATACAGGGTGTGTCAGTTTATTGTTGGATAACTTTAAGATTCGATGGAACTTTTAAAATTAATGCATAAAGTCTATATAAACATGGGTCGAAAAATGCGTGGCTTCCGAAATACAGGGTGTTTAAATTTACTTTCTAAAATAGTTTTTTTTTTAATATTTCGAACAATATTTGATGTATAACAGTGAAAATTGGTATAAAAGGGTTTTTTGGTACGACAAAACGAACCATGGGCATAGCTTTACTGTAGCCGCTAGAGGACGCTCTCTACTGTACCTGTAGTGTATTAAAATGACCGAAAAAATTTTCTTAGTGCAATTTTTTGCTTTTTGATTAAAAAACTGATTCTTCGCACTTTTCAACATAAAAAAGCTCTCCTGCGAGAAAATAATATTTTTTTTTACATTTTCGATTTGGGCATTACAAGTAATTAAGATCATCGTTTAGATTGTGTTTTTAAACACAGCAATAATTCCTAACTTCAAATACACAAAAAACAGAATATTAATTTGTTTAATTCTCCAATATTATTTGTAACAAATTAAATTAATTATTTACAACTAAAATGCTATTGGATAGTTAGGACAAACATACAAAATCAAAAGTAGTTGCTCGAAATGTAAACCCAATTTTTCAATACACAATTCAAATCTACGAATGATCGAACGTGGTATAGCATTATTCAAATAAGGCCTTATTTCATCACATGCATTCCCTGATTCTGTCTATTAGCATATCTCTTGTGGTTACGGGAGTCTGGTACACTTTTTCTTTTAGAAATCCCCACACAAAGAAATCTAATGGATTTAGGTCAGGGGATCGTGGAGGCCAGGCGACTGGTCCTCCACGGCCGATCCATCTTTCTGGATAATTTTCGTCCAGCCAGTTTCTAACTATTCTCGAATAATGAGCTGGACAACCATCAAGCTGGAACCAGGCCAATCTTCTTAAATCTAACATAACATCATCCCACATATTTGCATGTTCAGCCTTTAAAAATTCCAAGAAGGTCGCAGCATTTAACCTTGCAGGCAAAAGGTAGGGTCGAAATAGTCGATTACACGTTCACACTAAATTCATGCTGAAAATTTCTTTCCCGAACTGCATGCGGATTTTCATGCGTCCAAATATGTTGATTATGAAAATTTACCGCTCCACGTCTAGTGGAGCATGACTCATCGGTCCATAAAACGTTACTTAAAAACTCCCTATTATTATCAGTTCTATCAAGAATCCACTGACAAAATGTGATTCTTCGTTCTCCGTCCCCTGGCTGTAGTCCTTGCACATGTTGCAAATGGTAAGGACGTCTATGGTCATTTCTAAGAACACGGTGAACATGGCTTGCTGAAATTCCCAAGGCACCAGAAACTCTCCTAACACTTGTGGTCGGATCTCTATCAAACTCACGCAGAATCATACGGGTAAATCTGCGCTGACGAACATTTATGTTTTGATCCCTTTCCATTTTCAATTATTTGGCGATGCATTCTTACAAATACTGAGCGAGTTGGATGTCGTCTGTTTGGAAATCTTCGTGCGTATTCTCTGGCTGCTTCTGCTGCGTTTCCATTTACAAAGCCATACACAAAATGAATATCCGCTAACTCTTGATTGGAGAATAAAAATGGCATTTTTATAAAACTTACAAAAAAAAACAGGTAAAAGAAACTAAATTTCGTGCATTCACAATTGCAAAAAAACGTTTCAGGTTTCAACAGACAACAAAACTAACTGTCAAATAATTGACGTTTAACCTTATTCTGCTTTCAATTTCAAAAATATTTGCAGGCACAGCCTACTTCTAAAAATTATCGATATACTGACTTTTTAACGTTATTTTATCATAAATAATTAAAAATGCATCGAACCTTAAAAATCGAAATATCTCAAAAACGGTTAACTATAACGAAAATTCACAAGAGAGCTTTTTTATGTTGAAAAGTGCGAAAAATCAGTTTTTTTAATCAAAAAGCAAAAAATTGCACTAAGAAAAAATGTTCGGTCATTTTAACACACTACAGGTACAGTAGAGAGCGCCCTCTAGCGGCTACAATAAAACTTTGCCCATGGTTCGTTTTGTCGTACCAAAAAACCCTTGTATACCAATTTTCACTGTTATACATCAAATATTGTTCGAAATATTTAAAAAAAACTATTTTAGAAAGTAAATTTAAACACCCTGTATTTCGGAGGCCACGCATTTTTCGACCCATGTTTATATAGACTTTATGCATTAATTTTAAAAGTTCTATCGAATCTTAAAGTTATGCAACAATAAACTGAAACACCCTGTATATATATATATATACGTATATACAGGGTTATCCAAATTAAGTGTCCACCATTAGTAACTTTGTTATTAGTGAAAATACAAAGTTGTTTGAATTAGCAAACTAGTAGCATTTTTAACGCTGGTAAAAATGAGAAATAAAAAAAAACAATTGAGAGTCGTTATTTTGATTTTTTTCAGTAAAATAACATTTTTTTAAATGGAAACCCCTGTATATTATATTTTTTTCTGTTAAAGCATCGAATTTTAAACAAAAAAGCTTACAATAACTTTTCTCCTAGGTTACAAATTGTTGAAGTTATGGCCTCCAATCTGAAACAATTAAATTGTATCGACAAACTTTATTTTCAACATCAACTTATAATCTTACAAAATACAATAACAATTTTTTTTAAAGAAGATGCTCGAAAACACCACCTTGTTATTCAATACATTTTTGGGCACGTTTTTCAACTGCTCGAACTGTCTTAAGTATGGTCCTACCATCTATCTGGGTTATCTTTTCCCTAACTGCAGTCTTTAACGCGTCAAGGTTATCGTACCTTCGCTTGTAAATTTGGTTCTTTAAGTAACCCCACAAGAAGTAATCAAGTGAGTTTAGATCTGGTGATCTGGGAGGCCACTGTATTGGGCCATATGTTCCTATCCACTGATCATTAAAAGTAGTACTTAGAAAATGATAAGTACCTCTGGAGTTGTGGGCAGGTGCGCCATCTTGCTGAAAATGCAGATGATGTCTACTTATAAGATCCAATTCGTCTAAGAAATTAGTCAGAATTTCTGACATAAATTCCACATATCTTTCACCAGTTAGGGTTCCCTCATAAAAGAAAGGGCCAACAATTTTTGAACCAATTATACCGCACCAAACGTTGAAACTGAAACGGACTTGTGGGCCTCTTGGATGTACTAACAAAAGATTTTCTCTTGACCAATAATGGTGGTTTTTTTCTATTAAACATTCCAGAATTTGAAAAATTTGATTCATCTGTCCATAAAAGGTAACGAAAGTTATTTACATTTTGGCGACAGAAGCTAAGATACCAATGGCAAAAAACAAGTCTTCTCTCTGGATCCCCTGCCAAAAGCGTTTGAACTGGTCGGTACTTATACGGAATAAATTTGTATTTTTTTAAAATCCTTTGAACAGTACCATAACTGAAATTAGAGTCCTTGAGAATATCTGCTATTGAATTCTCACGATAAGCTTCAAAGTATCCAATAACTGCAATTTCCGTGGCCTCGCTTATTATGAATTCTTTTTTTGCCCTTGTTTTAGCAAAAACATTTTCGTTGCCCCTAAATTTTCGATAAAGTCTCAGAAATATCGTTCATACGGTTGAATGCGAGCGGGATATAATTCACTGTAGTATTCTCTTGCTCTCAAGGAGGATTTTCTGCACACTAAATAGCATTCTAACATATCACACTTTTCTTCATGTGAGAACATTTTTCTTTAAATTAATGACACAATAAAGCTTATAAACAAGTATTTACACTAATGTTTGACATTACTTGATTTTATCATTGTTTTCCAAAGCCTTCTAGTTGCGAGTATGTCCAGTTTAACAATTTGTCGCTTATCTTAATGCTGTCAAACCGCGAACGCCATGTTGTTTTCATAGCCGTCTTAATATTATAAAACTGCAAATAATTAAAAATATTTATCGTTATTTTGACTTTATTTTTGACTTTAGCGGAAAAGTCATTATGAACTTTTTTGTTTAAAATTTGATGCTTTAACAGAAAAAAATATAATATACAGGGGTTTCCATTTAAAAAAATGTTATTTTACTGAAAAAAATCAAAATAACGACTCTCAATTGTTTTTTTTTATTTCTCGTTTTTACCAGCGTTAAAAATGCTACTAGTTTGCTAATTTAAACAACTTTGTATTTTTACTAATAACAAAGTTACCAATGGTGGACACTTAACTTGGATAACCCTGTATATATATATATATATATATATATATATATCACATAACCATTTGGACACTGCTTTAGAACTGCTGGTGTTATTAAAAAAATTATGAATTGGTTAAATGTCAATAAAATCAAATTAAACACTAATAAAGCAAAATGTATGTCAATAGGGAAACAAAAAAATACAATTATTCTCATGATTAATAATGAAAAAATTGAAGTAGTCGATTCATTTAAATATCTTGATAAAATGTGGATAGTAAGCTGTTTCACGAACATTATGGATACATTATTTCAAAAATATCGAAAAAGATAAATTACTTCTATAGAGTTTCCCATAATCTTAGTATGTATTCCAAAAAAAATCTGTATAACACTATAATTCTTCCCCATTTTTCATCTTGTTCAACCATCTTGTTTACAGCAAATGAAAACATATTTTCAAAATTACAAATTGAATTAATAAAGCTATGAGAATCATTTTAAATAAAAACAAATATACTAAGATTAAGACTATATTAAAGAACTGTAGTGGTTGGATGTGAAAAATTGCATATATTATAATGTTCTAGTTTTCATATTCAAATTACCACCACATTTAAATTAAAAAGTCATTATCATAACTACGAAACTAGAGGCAGTATAGGTTTTCATCTGCAAAATTGTAATAGGAGCATAACTAGTAAATCTATATTTCAAAAGGGAGTATTTGAATTTACTAAATTGAATAATGATATTAAAGAAAGTTCGAATTTAAAAATGTTTAAGGTGAAATAAAAAAATCACTTTACGAATAATACAATACATAGTGTCGTAATTTTAATTTTAATAGGCAAGAATGTAAAATCACAGAAAATGGATTGAAGAAAAATATGTAACCGAATCATTATACAAAATTGACATTGTAGCATTAATGCTAAATAAATCTTCAACAACAACAACAAAATCATGTAAGTTAGTAGAAGTGATGTTTATATGTTTAAAAGTTTGAGAGCTGCTGTTTGCAAATGGTATGACGTCAGAGCTCATTAATATGGGCCAAACATGGCGATCAGCGTCTTCGGCTGTCTAAGAAAAATATATTTTTGGAGTTTTACGATCTTCAAGGTCTGAAAAAAATATAGTATCAATTTTTTGGTCTAATAGAGCAAAGATTAACTATTTAAGACCTACTAAAAAAAGTGTCAACTAGCCTATTAAGTAAAGTCATAAATAACCTGAAATTGAAAAGCCAGGTCGTAGTGACCCAATTTGAAAATTAACCGCGGATGTTCAGTCACAGATTGAGGGTTAGATTCATAAATTCATATCAACTGTTATCTAACAGTTAGCATCACATTAACTGTCTTGCAAAGATTTGTTATCTTGACAGTTAACTGCCAGACGGAAATAACTGAAGATTGCGAAGTTTGACTTTTGCGGGCGCTCACTGTTTCTTACGGCCTTCGCACTACACAGTTTCTTACACTACCGAAGGTCTCCTCGTAGAAGAAATCACAATAAGCAGCGTTATTCTCGAATGTCATCTCGGGAACCTTGTATTCCGGATTGACGGCCACTTTCATCGTATAGTGACCGGGATCAAGGTCGGTGATATCCACCCATTGACAATCAACTGTGTATTTGTAGATGTCCGAGCAGTTTACTGATATGCCTTGGTCACCGTAGTTTGCGCATGCGAATCTGGGCTCGACGCCGGGTAGGCATTGGTTGTCTTCGAGACAGAAAGAAGCCTTGTGTCCTTCAGCGACCCGCTTGCCCTTGGAATTGAAGATGTCGAATGTGGCGAACACTTCCATGCTGTGGTAATGCCTGGAACAAACGAGGAAAATTTAAAGCGGTTGCGGCTGACTTTCATTTGTTTTCCACGGCCTACAATTTTTTTCAAATAAATGCTATTTGAAAACATCCTAAATTTTCATAGCCTCCATAACTTTCTTGCGGCGATTGGTAGCTTCTATGAAATAGCTGTAATTTTAATTTGTTATTGAACCGATGGTAGACTGCAGAACATCAGTGGAAATGCGTTTTCATTCAGAGCCAAAAAAACCTACTTTTTGTTTTGTAATACCCATAGCTTATGGAGGTTAATTCACAAATTCTTTTATTTATTTATATTTCATATTTACTTATATTTCATATTTCCTACAGGAAAAGCTCAAATACATTAACAAAAAGAAAATAAAGAGTCACACTGAAAACTTAAACTTAGCATCAGTGGCCTAAGTAAGCTCAGAGAACAATCGATGACTTATAGCAATTTATGATTGATTTACAGCTGTCATTATAAATATCACACAGATCACAAATATAGTTCATCAGACTGCACATTACATAAATTGGAGATTTCAACATTACGTTCGTCCTGCCTGCTCGACAATAAAAGGCTGATTGTTGACGACTTTCAAGCCTTGGAATGCGGAAATATATTTTTTCAAGTAAATCCGGACAGCCAATTTGATTGTGCATAAGGCCATACAAAAACGATAAGGCAAACATATTACGTATAATTGATAGTGAATCTAAATCGAAAAAATTCAAAAGGGTATGATGACAAAAACCTCTTTCTGGATAAGAACCAGTACATTTCAGGTAAAAATACTTAATAGCCTTACGTCGAATGCCTTCAATCATTGAAACTGAATTTAGGTATATTGGAGACCAGATCAGGGTTGCATATTCCAAGTTGCTTCCGATAATAGTAACGAACAAAGTCATTAAAGTACTGACATTGGAGAACCCCTTCCAGTTTCTGATACAGAAGCCAAGGAGTCTGGTGGCAGCCGATGAGGTATTAAATATACGTTCGCTAAACACTAGCCTGCTATCAAAGGTTACTCCAAGGTCCTTAAAAGAGTAGCACCTGTCTATAACCGTTGACGTTATAATCATCGTATATTAAATAATTAGTCTTTCTTGTATAAGACACGACTTTACATTTAGAAACATTTAAACTAAGACAGTTTCGCGATCACCATAAAGAAATTAAGTCTAAATTATCCTGCAGCATGAGACAATCATCAGTTGACTCGACCGATGCGTAAATCTTAACGTCGTCAGCAAAAAACGGATGCAAACACTTGAGCTCAAGAGACAGATCGTTAATAAAGATCAGGAACAATAATGGGCCTAAATTCGATCCTTGAGGCACCCCAGATGTGGCATGATAATTACTCGACCTATAACCACCATATTCAACAAACAACCTTCTGTCCATCAAGTATGAACTCAGGAGCGACAACAGTTCCTCAGGTAAACCTACGGTCCTAACCTTATCCAGAAATACATAATCATCAACTGGATCAAATGCCATCTGAAAACTGTTTAGTTTAACATTTAGCAACATGGACTTCAAATATGTTATTAATTACAGAATATAAGGCAACACAAGCGTCGCCCACACTGTCTGCATTGATCACCTGAGTCCAATTAACATCCAGGAAGGCTCTGTACATTTCAGGGTATCTAGCTTTACGAAATTTGTACCTTGCAGAATTTGCAAATGAGAATTTTCTTTGAGACCTGGAAGTATTGAACTCAAAGATCAGCGCAGGATGATGGACATCCTCTTTAACTAACGGTGGAACTATCCCTTATGCAGCTGTCGTTTGACAACAACAGTAATACTTGTTATACATCATTAGAATTAGACTTTACGTAGAATAAGATTTCTGAAAAAGGTAGACAGGGTCCCATTTAAAATCTATGAGAAATGCTGTGTTGACGATGTGGATTTCTGATATTTTTCCAAATAAGTATACTAACATGAAAAACACATAATTACAAGCTTTCACCCGTTGTTGATTACGCTACCTTGACCGTTTAAAATATTTTTCGTCTTGTATGCAATATGGCGGATTTTAGGTTAATGATAAATTCGTTTATAGTGCCACCATTTTAAAACGAAAATGTCTCTTGTAAACATCGTTGGAAAGGGAATTTTGCATAGAGTACGATTATGGAAGAAAATTTACAGGTTTAAATTTGAGAAACGAAAGTCAAGGTCACTTCCGATTAAACCGGAAGGGAGATACACTTTCCAGAAATGCATCTTAATGACTAACTAAACATGTACCAATCTTGGAGCGATATCACTATTTGCCAGAAAAATACAGCGTGTTTTCAATTGTCATTGTCACCCGGTATAATGTCAAAAAAAGCCGACGGAGAGAAAGTCAGCCACCCATCTATACTCAATTGAGTGCTCTGTGGAGTGACACTGTTGGAAGGAGAATTTCGAGGCCCACAACTCATAGAGAGGCCCACAAACTGGGATTTAGCACTTGCAAGGTAAGTTTTCTTATAAAAAAAAGTGAAGTAAAAACCCTAAAGTTGCAGAACTTGTTTATAGGCCAAAGAAAAGCCACTATTAACTCCACTGCAAAAGAAAAATCGCCTTAGATGGGCTAAAGAACATAGACAATGGACACCTCAACAATGGTGTGCAATACTATGGAGTGATGAGGCCCGATTCGAAGTTTGTATTGGTGACAGTCGCAGTAGAGTTATTCGCAAAAAAAATGAAGCATTCCATGTTGACTGTCTGAAGAGAAAAGTGAAATTTTCAGCATCCATTATAGTCTGGGGCAGTATGTCATCAAAAGGAGTAGGAAAACTTCATTTTATTGATGGTAATGTGGATACAAACAAATATTTGGCAATTTTGGAAGAATCGCTTTTACCAGTGATGGAAGAATGTTTGACATCCGGCCAAGATTTTGTGTTTCAGCAAGATGGTGCAGCGTGCCATACCTCAAAAAAAGGCTATAAAATGGATGGAAAAAAATAATGTACCACTTTTGAAACGGGTTTCTAGCAGTCCAGATCTGTCACCTATTGAAACTTTGTGGCACGAGATGAAAAAGGTTCTACAACAACATCCTGCTCGTACAATCACCGAACTGAGACAAAAGCTTCAAGAAATATGGGATTGTTTTACACCAAATTTTTGCCAAACCTTGCTTAACACTATGCCCCAAAGAATTTCAGCCGTAATAAAAACTAAAGGTGATGTTACCCAATGGCAATCTTTCAATTGTTGCTTTGTTAACTTCGCGCATTTATTCGCACATTGTTTATTTGTTCAGATGTTCTATTAGCTATAGGTCTAAGTGATTTCAAATATGTATTTTTTACGACTAGAGTGTATCTAAAATGTTTTTGAGAAAATAAATTGTTTTAGAAGTAAATAGTTTCGTCATGAAGGCATATTTTGGTACAAATCTTGACGTGGGCCAACTGAAGTGGGAAGGGGCTCGTATATTGAAGTCGCAATGATACTCACATATGACACATGTGCCATTCCCACAAATGTTTCGGTATCGCGGGCCGGAAGTCGGCGGTACCAGCGTTAAAGATCTTCGCAGTGAACTTGAGAAGCCTCCTAGTCTCCAAGTGCCAGCCGGGATTCTCTTTTTGTATCTCGTAAGCCGATGAAGCGACGCAGTTCTCTTCCATGGCGCATTGCAAGAAGAACATCGGTCTATCCTCCAAGTGTGCGGTCTGAATCAGTTCCATGTGATCGATAATCAAGTCGGCCATCGAATTAGTGCATGAGACGGCGGCTAGATCGCGACTCTTGCACTGGCCTGAAAATTACGATTTTAAAAAGAAAAGCGTCTTTCAACCATAATTAGTCTCCCTCATCCGTCGAAGAAGCCGTGAGAAAACCGGTAAGAAGGAGTATAGGATTTAAGGTAATAGAAAATTAAATAAGAAAAATCATGTTTCTTTCATATATACAGGGTGATTCACAAGTCGTGACCAGAAATGAAACGCATCTTGAGGGGAGTCTTCTATGTAACATTTTTTCAACGAACAAAGAACAAAAAATTTTTATTTGGTAAAATAATGCCACTAATCCCCTGTAGCTCCGTCACTGGTGCACGTTATCTTTTAGTAAAGACTTTTGACATTGGACAAGACTTAGGTCTTATGTTACATAGGTGACCCTCCTTAAAATGCGGTCCCGTGTATGATGTTTCATTTTTGGTCATGACTTGTGAATCACCCTGTATACAGGGTGTCTAATAAGTACCACAACAAACCTAAGGAGGTAGGCTTTTTATGAATTTAAAAAAAACGAACCTTTTCATCTGTGATCTTTAGCTGCATGCACAAATAAGGGTATACTTTGTTCATTTTTTTTCTATAAAATACTTCTAGATAGTTGCTTTATCATATACAAGTGCAATGTAGTTAAAAGATATTAAGGAACCATGATCAAATAAGGACTATTTTGGGATTTATAACTTTCTGATATTTTTTCCTCAACTTTGACCATCTGTGGTGAAACAAAAATGTGCTGGTCTATAACTGTATTATATTGAATACGAGTATAACCACCAACAATAGTAGAATCAAGGGCCACATCGTCAGTCGTACCTACAATATTGTAGGACGCCTTCATGGTCTCCTTGATCTTCACTGTTTTCCACTGTTCCGTGTCAGCGCTCTATTTTGAGGTTATGTCACAAATATCTATTTGCATTAAATTGTTTATGCTTTTTGATTTATATCATCAAAAATAAAACATAACTTCACAATAGGAGAGCGCTGACGCTGACACGGAACAGCTTAAAACTAGAAATACCCCAGCCTTTCTGAAGGAGAGAAAATACTATGAAAATCAAGGAGGCCATAAAGACGGCTCACAATAATTGTAGGGCGCGTTTATGGCCTCCTTGATTGTCATACTCCTTTCTCTCCTTCAAAAATGTCTAGATTGCACCTGTCCCGTGTCAGCGTCAGCGCTCTCCTATTGTGAAGATATGTTTTCTTTTTAAATTGTAGGAAATTTCAGGCTGATAAAACATGATATAACTCAAAAGCAAGCACAATTTGATGCAAATAGTTATTTGTGACATAACCTCAAAATAGAGCGCTGACACGGAGAAGTAGAAAACTACGACAATCAAGGAGGCCATAAGGGCGCCCTACAATTGTAGGAACGACTGACGATACGGGCCTAAGTAAATCGAATGTCGCTACATGTCAGAGTGACAGTTGACAGCAGGGGTAATCCTACCAAACGCATCGGACGAATTAAGTTGGCGTTGGCAGAACTTTGTTCTTCTCTTTCCTTACCTGTTAGTTGTTGATTGTATTGGCATTCATGAAAACTAGTTTCGTTTCCAATGCACTTGACACCAACAAAAGTTCCACCGGTCACGTTTCCACCAAAATAATCTGTTTGCATCGCATCATTAGCATAACCTAAATACATAAACATATGACAAATGTTTTGGTAGAAAATACATGATCTTACCCAGCCCCAAGGTTTTGCATACGATTAAGGCTTCCAAAAGTGACCATCCATCACCACATACCGTTACCCATTTGCCTTTTTTGTTTTTTATTTCAAGCCTTCCTTCTGTTGGTATTCTGCCATGCATCAGTCGGAGCTTCAAGTTCGATGGAAGCCGGGACCTAACATAGAAAAATAATAATGCAAAAAAAACGTGATATTCAACTGGATCACAAATTTGTACGTAATAAATTGGTTAAATGTGAATAAACTTAAACTAAAGACAAACAAAACAAAATACATGCTAATAGGAAAATCTTTAGATCGAAATACAGTTAATCATGAAAAAATTGTGTCAATCGAATCATTTAAATATTTAGGCATATACGTAGACAGGAAATTAAAATTTGAAGGGCACTATGAATACATTATTTCAAAAATATCCAAGAAAATAATTTACTTTTATCGAATTTCGCATAGCTTAAGCGTTTATTCTAAAAAAATTGTGTACAACACTATCCTTCTTCCTCATTTGTTATATTGTTCGACTATTTTGTTCACTGCAAATGATACTGTATTTTCAAAATTACAAATATTACAAAATACAGCTATGAGAATCATCTTAAATAAAAATAAATATACTAGAACAAAATTTATGCTGAAAGAACTACAATGGTTAAATATCAAAAATTTCATAGCATACTTGCTTTTCATTTTCATATTATTCAAGTTAAAAAATCATCTACCAAATCACTTAGAAAATTTTATTGTATTCAACAATGGGTGCCACAATTATTCTACCAGAAGAAGTATAGACTTTGATTTAGAAAACTGCAGTAGCAATATAACGAGCAAGTCAGTATTTCAAAATGGATTGCACGAATTTAATAAATTAAGTAATGATATCAAGATGTGTGTCAGTTTGAAAATGTTCAAAGGGAAATTGAAAAAATATCTCATGGAAAACCAGAATTCATAGTAGTGAAATTTGTAGTCTTGAAGGCATATATTTTGTGATATACTGTGTAATATGAATATTATGGACATTGTAGCATGAATGCTAAATAAATCTAAAACAAACAAAATAAAGTTTTGATTGATAGAACATCGTTGACACCTACTGTTGATATGTAAGAAGTACTCACATTTTATGTTCTGCTTCTATATTGAGTATCTCTGGTTTGGCTGAAGTGATCTCAGGTTCTGAGCAAATAACGCCAGCGGCTTCGTCAGACTTACAATCGCTACGTCCCCACCCATCAAATCTACATGCCGAAATTTCATCTTCGGTGCCGTCACAATAAATATTATCCATCCAGAAACGACCTGAAATAAAAAATTGGACAATTATAAGGTATATATAACGATTCAACTGTCTGATTATAGCAGATTTTGCTTAGATCATTCAAATAATCAAGTATTATGTCAGGATCTTAGGCCCGTATCGTCAGTCGTCTATACAATTATTGTATGGCGCCTTTATGGCCTCCTTGATTGTCGTAGTTTTCTACTTCTCCGTGTCAGCGCTCTATTTTGAGGTTATGTCACAAACATCTATTTCCATCAAATTGTGCTTGATTTTGAGTTATATCATGTTTTATCAGCCTGAAATTTCCTACAATTTAAAAAGAAAACATATCTTCACAATAGGAGAGCGCTGACGCTGACACGGGACAAGTGTAATCTAGAAATTTTTGGATAGAAAGGAGTATGACAATCAAGGAGGCCATAAACGCGCCCTACAATTGTAGGGACGTCTGACGATACGGGCCTTACACCTATTGCACTGTGCTTTCAAAATGTATAACAAAGTATCACACCCAGACAAAATAATTTCTTCAACTTGTTTTTTTGGCAATGAAATAGTCTTACATCAAGAATGAAACGATAACATTCTTATGAAAGTATATTGATTAGTAATAAGAAAAAAGTTAATAAGTTGGGCGACCCCGCAGCTGAATACACTCCTGTATACATATAGGCATCGACAAAATGACTTGATCGAAGTCACCTCATTCCAAGCAACTCGAACTTCGTGGATGAGCCATGACAGAGTCTGTGGCGGATGGTGCAAAGTGGATAGTCTCCTCCCCATCATATCCCACACACATGTTCGATGGGATTCAAATCCGGTGAAACACGGGAAAACATTAACGCCTGCTTCTTGTAGAAAGTCCGTAGTATGGCGGGCAATATGAGGACCTGCGTGGTCTTGTTAAAAAAAGGGCGTGTGGACGGCCCTCTAGATACGGCAGTAAAGTAGTTTGTAGTTCAGGACAAGCGAACATCTCGATAGGCGAATTCTACCCCTGTCAGAGTCACTAACATGGTAATAATTTGGACGTCTTCGAACTCGTGGCATCTTGTTATCGATACCACTAGTAAATGAAAGTGCAATGAAATATCTGTACTACTCAGCTCTCGGAAACTGCGTTCTTCACAAAAACTAAGATAACATTTTAAGAAAGGTGAACAAAAACAAGGAGAAAACGTTACACTTTCTAAATCATTCTATAGGTGATATTAATTCAGGCATTCAGCTATGTACTTACGTTTTGCAGGACCAAAATATGAATTCACGGTCGGCTGGACCTTCTCTCCAACATATCCAAGCTGTTTACAAATAATTTTTGCCTCAGTGAGGTCCCATTCGTCATCACATATGGCGCCCCAAGATCCATTGTGTAAAATTTCCACGTTACCTGCACATCATACATTCTATAAGCCAATTGTTTCCGTTTTTTACGTATTTGAAAACAATTATGTGGACGGTATTCTGAATGGGAGCTGCCAGAGTTTATTTATTAACTATCTCTCGTCAAGCTCTTGCCTAAATGTAAAAATCCAAAAAGTCTCTCAGACTTAAGACCTATAACTTTGATTCCTGTTATATACTAAGTGACATATAAATCCGAACACCCAGTTTAAATGGTTTTATTTTACTAAAATTTTGTATAAGTACTTAATGAAGCATAATAAGTAAATGATAAAAATTTCAAAATGATTGCACTGTTTTAAAGCCCTTTGACCTTTAATAATGTGTGGATGCACCTTGATGTGCTACGCATTCTCCAACGCGCCTAGGTATGCTTCTGATCAGGTGGTCAATGTCCTCCTGTGGTATCTCATTCCAGGCAACCACAAACTCCTCTCGAAGTGCTTCTAGAGTCTGAGGAGGACGTTGCAAATTGAGCAATCTCCTACCCATCATATCCCACACGTGCTCAATTGGGGATAAGTCGGGAGATCTTGGTGGCCATGGTAACAATGTGACATCATTATGTTGAAAGAAGTCTATTGTGACTCTTGCAACATGTGGTCGGGCATTATCTTGTTGGAAAGTTGGATCTGCCAGGGTGTCAAGATAGGGTTCTAGAACTTCGTGGATATAACGCTGCGCGTTCATGTTACCTCTGATGAAGATTAAAGGTGACCTGGAACCATAAGCTATAGCACCCCAAACCATAACTCCAACAGTGTGATGAACATGTCTTTCAACAAAAAACTGTGGATTCCTCCTTTCACCACGTCGCCTTCTAACCCTGGCACGACCATCGTACATGCCTAAACAAAATCGAGACTCGTCACTAAAGACAATACTGTTCCATTCCTGATCCCAGAGTGACCGTTGTCTGCACCACTCAAGGCGATTACGTCGGTGTTCCAAAACTTCTCATTCGTCGGTAAACACTTCGCATGCCAATAGGTCTTCCGTGTTCTGCAAACCATTCATTTGCAATGGACCTGGTAGTGGAGAAACGGTCCCTTAAGGCCAATAATCTTATGCGGCGATCTTCACGGTCTGTTGTTCTACGGCGGCGTCCAGTGCCCCTTGCTCTTTGCGTACGGCCTTCTCGAAGCCATGCCTGACAACACCTAACCACAGTGTCTACACTTCTTTGCACTCTAGCTGCAATTGCCCGAAAAGAAAGTCCAGCTTCCCGAAGTCCCACTATACGGCCCCTATCAAACTCACTAAGCTGACGAAATCGTACAGGTCTCCGTACTCTAGGCATCGTAACCGATCGTAAAGGATGTCAATAACCAAAATCCGCCAACGTTGATTCTTTACTGCGGCTGAAATATTCATTTTTAGAGCGTTAGTGAATTAAAAAAACAGTATAAAAACCGGAATGTCCAACTGATAAGGCTGAAAATTTTTTCACTTGTTATTTACAGTAAGATAAATACATTCACCAACTTTTATTAAAATAAAACCATTTAAACTGGGTGTTCGGATTTATATGTCACTTAGTATACTTCAAACCTTGTTATAGTAAAAACAAAATGGAACTGAGACCAAACGGATTTTGCTGAAATGGGCTGGGAATAGAACACATTACCTTCGTACTCTCCTCTTCCTCCCACCAATTTAAGCCCTCCATCGATCTTTTTCAGCCTCTTCAGATGCTTTTTCACCAAAAGCGCTCTTTTTTTCTTAATTTCCTCCGGGCTCTCCGCAACTAGCGCACCAACAACAAGAGCAATCACGAACACGAATCGCAACCACATCGTTTCCATCCCTGACTAACTACTAACAAGTTAGGTGACTCTGCTCCAATTTCACATGTGGAGACCTAATTTTTTCGTGATGTGTGACTACGACATAATATCTGACCTTTCAGCTGCGAATTGTTAATGAACAACCGGGAATGTTAATGGGATTAACGATCATTTCGTATGCGTCTATTAATTCTGCTGGTCACATGGATCATTTCGTATGCGAATGATGAGTGTCAACGTGCAGCAGACCACGATGTATAGAATTTCCTAGACGAAGCACAATAGGTATTTATGCAGCGACTTTTTTCCACTGTCGCGAGAGTCTCGTTAAATCCACAACTGGGACAGCCTTCTCATGTAATTGTTCGACAATCTCGATACCCTAGGGACAAAGGAGCGGTCGTATCGGCCAGTTCTGGATGTACGAGATTCGACACAGGATGGGGATCCAAAAATGCGAAAATATACAGGGTGTTCGACTAACTTTTTTAGCCTTGAAATGATCTTATCTTGTCCACGAAGTTCGGTCAAATTAACATTTTCAAAGAGCACCTCACATTTTTATACTGGAAATGTTATTTGAGATCAACGTCACATTCACATGTAAAATTTCCTGCTTTTTCTGTTTCCAGTATAAAAATGAGAGGTGCCCTTTAAAAATTTTTATTTTACTTTGAAGGTCAACGTTAGATGATCCCTTCAAACCTTGTAACATTTTTGCTAGGGCAAATTGTTTTCGATGTCTTGATTTGACCTTGAAAATTCCCTAAAGGTCATTGTCAATGTCGTAAACAAGGCGATATTCGAGCGTGAAATTTCTTTCCAATACTGATGTTCTATTTGAAAATACTCCTTTGACAGGGTGTTCTACTAACTTTTTTTAGAAAAGTACGTTTTGCGTTTTCGACCACACTGTACTGAACATTCAGGAATTCAAAAAATTGGGTTAAAATTGGGTATGATAAATTTCTGAAACGTTTCTCAAACTTTTTCTATATAAAATACACAACACAGCTCAACAACTGATAATAAAAATCCCTTAGTATGTTATATCAGTCTTCTTATTTTGAAAGGACCTATCGAATATGTATACTAAGTGACATATAAATCCGAACACCCAGTTTAAATGGTTTTATTTTAATAAAAGTTGGTGAATGTATTTATCTTACTGTAAATAACAAGTGAACAAATTTTCAGCCTTATCAGTTGGACATTCCGGTTTTTATACTGCTTTTTTTTAATTCACTAACGCTCTAAAAATGAATATTTCAGCCGCAGTAAAGAATCAACGTTGGCGGATTTTGGTTCTTGACATCCTTTACGATCGGTTACGGTGCCTAGAATACGGAGACCTGTATGATTTCGTCAACTTAGTGAGTTTGATAGGGGCCGTATAGTGGGACTTCGGGAAGCTGGACTTTCTTTTCGGGCAATTGCAGTTAGAGTGCAAAGAAGTGTAGACACTGTGGTTACGTGTTGTCAGGCATGGCTTCGAGAAGGCCGTACGCAAAGAGCAAGGAGCACTGGACGCCGCCGTAGAACAACAGACCGTGAAGATCGCCGCCTAAGATTATTGGCCTTAAGGGACCGTTTCTCCACTACCAGGTCCATTGCAAATGAATGGTTTGCAGAACACGGAAGACCTATTGGCATGCGAAGTGTTTACCGACGAATGAGAAGTTTTGGCTTGTTTTCATACCGGCCACACTGGGTCCTCCCTTTAACTCGAGAACACCGACGTAATCGCCTTGAGTGGTGCAGACAACGGTCACTCTGGGATCAGGAATGGAACAGTATTGTCTTTAGTGACGAGTCTCGATTTTGTTTAGGCATGCACGATGGTCGTGCCAGGGTTAGAAGGCGACGTGATGAAAGGAGAAATCGAGTTTTTTGTTTAAAGACATGTTCATCACACTGTTGGAGTTATGGTTTGGGGTGCCATAGCTTATGGTTCCAGGTCACCTTTAATCTTCATCAGAGGTAACATGAAGGCGCAGCGTTATATCCACGAAGTTCTAGAACCCCATCTTTTACCCTATCTTGACACCCTGGCAGATCCAACTTTCCAACAAGATAATGCCCGACCACATGTTGCAAGAGTCACAATAGACTTCTTTCAACATAATGATGTCACATTGTTACCATGGCCACCAAGATCTCCCGACTTATCCCCAATTGAGCACGTGTGGGATATGATGGGTAGGAGATTGCTCAATTTGCAACGTCCTCCTCAGACTCTAGAAGCACTTCGAGAGGAGTTGGTGGTTGCCTGGAATGAGATACCTCAGGAGGACATTGACCACCTGATCAGAAGCATGCCTAGGCGCGTTGGAGAAGGCGTAGCACATCAGGGTGCATCCACACATTATTAAAGGTCAAAGGGCTTTAAAGCAGTGCAATCATTTTGAAAGTTTTATCATCTACTTATTATGCTTCATTAAGTACTTATACAAAATTTTATTAAAATAAAACCATTTAAACTGGGTGTTCGGATTTATATGTCACTTAGTTTATAATAATCCATACTTAGTTTTCTTCGTCCAGTTTTTGTTGAGGAGCAAGACTCCGTCCTCGCATGGTTTTGACGCCCTGTATAACCATATTTCCGTGAATGAACAAAAATAACGCTTAGGAAAAAATACGTTTATTATCAAAATATCTTGACAATCTAAGCTATACAAAATAAACATATTAAATATGAAACAATCTGAATTCTAGCGTTAAAAGTTAAAGCTTTTTTGGTAGAATCGAAAAATAGGCTTCTCTAAAAAAAAATCACTACCAAATTTTGGCATATAGGAACTAAGTTAAGCTTTTGTACCACAATATTTGGACACATTAAAAATGTCCTTATAAAGAAATCTACTCACTACATGATGGAATAAAGACAAGTGGAAGAAAAAAAAAAGCAACATAAATATTTGTGAAAAATAAAGAAAACGCTCCCAGTCTAATAAAAATAACAATTATAATACACAGACACAAGAAGGTGCCATGAAATATATAAATATCCATTATAATATACCTTGCTCCAAGCGGAGGGCAATTACATACGTAAGAACCACTCTGATAACACCAGGAGACCAATACTTGAATAACGCCAAGCCATATACGCAATTCAGTCGCCAAAAGGATCTTTGTAACATTCCCATTTTTTTGAAAAATTAATAAAGTCCGATGAAGCTATTTATATTAAACACAAAAAATTGATATAACACCTAAAACCAAATAGTGTAATGCAAAGATATGGATGATTTTAGTCTGTTCTTTTCAAGCGTGGCCATCAAAACATTAAAATACGGTTTCTAGACGTACAGGGTATCCTACAAAAAAATTCAAACAAAACTCATAGGGTTTTGAGTGCAAAACGATGACCTTGACCACGACCTTTCAAGGTCAATCTGTAATTTTTTAATATAATCTCCCCTTTTCACATTGGAATTGAAAATAGGAGCAAATTTTACGTCCGAATATGACCATTACCATGACCTTCACTATTTCCTTCAAGGCCATTCCAACGTCAAGTTGTAAAAAACAGTTTGCTCTAGAAAAAATGTTGGGGCAGAACAGTTGTGAGGTTCAATGTGACCGTGACCATGACATTCAAGGTCAAACCAAAATTTCATTCAAGGTCGCGTTAAACTTGAATGTTATTCAAGGTCAAGGTCTCATTCACAGGCGAAATTTCCTGCCCTTTCCATTTCCGATAAGAGATGTCCTATGGAAATTTTGAATTGACTTTAAAGGTCAAGGTCATAGTCAAGGTCGCCTTCGGGTGATTTCCACAAACCTCACAACTGTGTTTACGAAAATTTTTGTAAGAGAATAAATTGATTTCGATGACTTGGTTTCACCTTTAAATTGTCTTGAAGGTCATGGTCAAGATCATAAGCAAGGCGATATTCGCAAGTAGTTTCCTCTTTTTTCAATTCCGTCAAGGTCATGTCGAGCTTAAATGCTATTTGAGGTCAAGGACACATTCGAATGTAAAATTTACTACTTTTTCCATTTCCAGTATAAAAATGAGATGTATCCTTTGGAAATTTTTACGTGGCTCTGAGGGTCATGGTCAAGGTCACCAATAGATGATCTCGACAAACCTTAAAAATATGCTTTTGAAATTGCCCTGAAGGTCATAACCAAGCCGATATCTGAACGTAAAATTTCTGTTTTCCAACACTGATGGTCTATTTAAAAATACTCACCTGACCTTGAAATGATCTTGTCCGGGAGCTTCAAAGTCGAATCAAAATTTTCAAATAACACCTCTCATTTTTCTACTGGAAATGGAAAAAGCAGGAAATACTACGTCCTAGTGTGACCTTGAATTGAAAGTCAAGGTCTCGTCAAGCTTAAATGCTATTTGACTTTGGTCAAGGTCACCGTTGAATGATCCCCACAAATCTTATACATACGCTTTTGAATATTTTTACTAAGGTAAATTGTTCTCGATGTCTTGATTTGACCTTCAAATTGCGCTGAAGGTCATGGTCATGGTCATAAACAAGGCGATATTTCGGACATAAAGTCTTATGTTCATTCCGACGTGAAAAAGGGTGGTTCTATTTGTAAATACTCACTTGACCTTGAAATGACCTTGTCGGTGAGCGTCAATGTTTAATCAAAATGTTCAAAGAACACCTCTCATTTTTGTACTGGAAATGGAAAAAGCAGGGCATATTACGTCCGAATCTGACCTTGGCCCGGCTTAAATGTCATTTGAAGTCAAGGTCACATTTACATGCAAAATTTCCCGATTTTTCCATTTCCAGTATAAAAATCAGAGGTGTCTTTGAAAATTTTGATTTGACTTTGAAGGTCATGGTCAAGGCACCGTTGCATGATCCCCACGAACCTTATAAATATGCTTTAGAACATTTTTTATTTGACCCTAAATTTGTCCTGACATGTGTCATTTTTATAATGGAAATGGGAAAAGCATGAAATTGTACGACCGAATGTGAGCACGACTTCAAATTCATCATGACAAGCTTAATAATTGTTATTTGAGGTCAAGGTCACATTAAGATGTAATATTTCCTGCTTTTTGCACTTTCGGTATAAAAATGAGAGGCTTCCTTTGGAAATTTGCATTTCTATTTAAACGTCACTGTCAAGGTCATGATCAAGATCATCGTTGGGTAATCTCCAAAAACCTCACAACTACCCTTCAAACATTTTTTCAATGTCTTAATTTGACCTTTAAATGGCATTGAAGGTCCGACCAAGGTCACAAACAAGGCGATAATCTGATCTAAAATTTCCTCTTCTTATCAATTCCGATGAGAAAAAGGTAAATTTCTATTTAAAAATACTCGCTTGACATTGAATGATCTTGGAGGTCGTCGTCAAGGTCATTGTAAGGCAGCCACAATTTGGCCGCTTTTGTTTGTAACTTTTTACGTAGAATGCGCATTTTTCTAAATATTCAGTGGGGTAAATTCAAAGGTAATGGGAGCTAAAACGCCCGCGGGCTGAAAAAAGTGAGACTCAATGCCCGGAAAGTCTTATATGCATCTGATCACAGAGACTGTCAGAAACTGACGTCGATCCTGTAACACATTGAAATATTTGACAGATTATAAATTAAAGTTTATGCTTGATACACTTTTGAACAATTTCCTATAAAAAATTATGAGTAAAGTTTGTTTATTATATTGTCTAGGAAGCAATGTTTGGTTGATGACCGCGCTTAAAAAAAATAAATCATCTAATATTTACAGAAATCAATAATCGTTATATCGAAATGACTCACCAAACCTCCTGTCGACTGAACGAGCAATCTTCCACCCGTCAATTGAAAAAAAAAGAAAAAATTAAACAGCAGTTATATTTATCGTTTCGATCCGGGTGATGGGCTCCATAACTTTGACGTTCAAGTTAACGTCGGCACTCGGATTGAGCTTCAATTCCTGTATGATTTCGATGACGCTGTCAATGGCGAACGGCTCTTGAGATTCCTCTTCTGGTTTCTTCGTCGTCTTGGCATAGTGGAGGTAACAGAAGCCCTTCCAACCTCTCCATGTGATGTTATTCGGTTTGATGCCCTTGTCTATCAGGGCGTTCTTCAGCTCTCTGATCCTTACCGTTCTGCCAATGTTGCTGACCAATAGGGAGTAGTCGGTTGGTTTACGGTACTTCCTTCTGTTGCGCGCGCCCTGGAACAAAATAAAAATCATACACGTTTACTAAAAAGGGTGCGGTAGCAAGTAGTAGTAGTACAGCGTGCGGCAGAGAGAATGGAGGGTTTTTAAAAAATATAAAATAGTTAATTTTTACTCGAAAACAAATTTATTGATGGAATCAGGTTCACAAGGAAATAGCATTTGAGACAGTCAAGTGTGGAAAATCACTTCAGAGTACTACCCATCCCAAAAACGTCCGTCCTCTCTGCCGCAAACTGTAGAAAGATTTATTTAGTACGTTTGGCTACATAAACAGAATTATTGTAAACAACTTAGAATTAGTAAATTCAAGCCATACGATGTATGATGTAAATGCTGGGCAAGCTATAATTGTAGATTGTGATTCATCAATTTTACTTTAAATTTTACAAGATATTTGATTACATTGAGCCATTTTAATATGCTAAGCATTTGTCTAATTGGAGTATATTTATCTTTATTCACTATTATTCTCATGCACTTATTTTGTAAAATTTGCAGTCGTTCAAAAATCGAATCATTTGCTAAATATAGAATAGTCGAACAGTACAAGAAATTTGGTAGAATGATGGTATTATAGATAATTTTTCTGCTATATGAACTCAGACATCCAGAAACTCTTGATAAATATCCCACTTCACTACAAATCTTATTTATAACTTTTTCATAATGAATATCAAAAATTAATCGAGAGTCAACAAAAACCCCCAGGTATTTAAAATTTTCTATGAATTGAATATCTTCACCATCAATATTCAGTTTAACATTTGTACATTCCTTTTTTCCGATTAACATAGCTTTCGTTTTACTTGTATTTAATTTGAGTCTGTTAGATGCTAACCATTTTGAGACAAGTTTCAAGTCTTCATTTATATAAGAGATACCCGTCTGAATATTTTTAGTACTTACTATAAATCATAGTGTCATCAGCGAAAATCTGAATTTTGCATTTTTTTACTATAGCAGGTAAATCGTTTATGTATCCAATAAAAAGAAGTGGTACCAGGATACTGCCCTGTGGAACACCCAACGTATTTTCAATTTATTGTTAATGAAATAGTGTCATTAACTTTTGAAACTTGCATCCTTTTAGACAAATAATTTCTAAACCAATCCAAAACACTTCCTGATATACCATATGCCTTCAATTTAGCTAACGTAACACGACATCAAAGAATGAAATACTACCAAATAGAGGAATTTATAAATATTCGAAAATGTACCACTCATAGAGTTGTTTGAATTTTTTAGATATTAGCCATTCTGATCCAAGTTTAAAATCACTATTAATGAGAGAGATACCTGATTGAAAATTCCTACAAGCTACAAACTCCAGTACAAAGGGTACTATAAAAGTTTTGCAATATGACTTAACAAACGGATGCAGGAGGCTGCATGTTACTGCATGTTGAGACATGTCCATGGGTGCATAGTAGCCGTGAGCCGTCTGTTGATTTAGCTGTATATTCGTATTGACAGTGTTAAGTGCGGACCATGGTATACTTTATCTGAAGTCACTTGAAACACTGTGAAATACCGGGTGCGTTTTATATATCTATATTTAACACGCTCTGTTGCTGCAAAAATCGCCAAATTTCGCAGCAAATATCCCTCGTATAAGATCAAAGGCAGTTTCACCGGTCCACGTGGAGTAAAGCACGCCTATGCGTGGACATAGCCAATGAGAAAGCGTGTATTTCAGAGCTCCGAACAAGTGCAGGTGGCTACTGAAAATTGAAACAGTTTAGCCAGTGCCGTGTAGCGGTGAATAAACGTGTTTTCTTTAGTCTGTCCGTGTTTTTTCATAGATTTGGAGACCTTGGGAAAATGCTCCAAGCCACGAGGAGATGGTTGATGAACCTGTGCAGGCAGAATTCTTTCATAAAGATTTAGAGGAACAGACCCAAAGAGTAATCCTAAATATGTATGATTGTCTGAAAAACGAAAATCCAGATTCCTCGCAAAATCAAATTTTAAACAGAATTTGTATCCTGACAAAAATCAGTCGGTCTACCATTTATCGGGTTATAAAAAGGGGAGATATAGTCAACCATTCCTTCCACAGAAAGCGCATAGGGCAAAAATTAAAAAGAATAGACGTGGGTTTTCAGGAAGATATTCGTCGTATAATATACGGATTTTATAAAGAAAATTTGGTGCCCACGTTGGAAATGATACGGGATAAATTAAAAGATTATCCTGAAGATTTTTATAATTACAAATGCTTAGACTCACTGCACTGTATTGTAAAACTGTGTGGTTTTCAATACAAAAAATTAGATAAAAGAATGGTGATTATGGAGTCGTCTCGAATCGTTGAATTGCGCCAAGAATTTTTGCACAAAGTTAAAATCTATAGAGAGCAGAAAAGAAATCTGATTTACCTGGATAAAACGTGGTATGATACCCATGATGTTGTGCAGTACGGCTGGGTTGACGACAGCAACAAGTGCATTTTAAATGCACCATGCAACCGTGGAAAACGAATCATTATTCTCCATGCTGGCAGTGAAAATGGATTTATACCTAATGCCTTGCTGTTGTCTGCCAAAAATATCAAAGAATCATGTGCCGACTATCATGAGGACATGACCTCCGACTTATTTGAAAAGTGGATAGAGCAGCAGTTAATACCAAACATTTCCCCAAATTCAGTTATTATTATGTACAATGCGCGATACCACTCCCGACAGAAAAACAAAATTCCGAATACAAGCACAAAAAAACAAGACATTATTGATTTTATGAAGGATAAGGGAATGGAAATACCACAAAAATCAACCAAAGCCATATTATTGGATCTTATTAAAAGACAAACATTTGAAAAAGAGTATGTTGTTGACAATCTGCTTCAGCAAAATGGCCATGAAGTATTACGTCTACCTCCCTATTACTGCATTTTTAACCCGATTGAGTTGGTCTGGGCTGCTTTAAAAAAAAAGTAAGAAAACATAATCAGACCCCTCAATTAAGTGAATCGCTATTGGCCACAAGAAAAGATGCAGTATCTCATATTGCTGCCACAGACCTATGGAAGCAGTGTTCTAGGCATATTATTGAAAAAGAAAATGAATATTGTGTTTTGGCTCCTGTAAATCCCGTTGTAATCCCTCTACAAGATGACTCTAGCGACAGCTCCGAAGGCGAGGATGATATATAAATACCTATAATGTAAGTCTTTATATACCTTTTTATATACCTACCTGCTATGTAAATATTTGCCTATGTCAAACGTTGGAATTCTGTAATTTTTCCATTTCTTAACTTTCAGTCAACATAAATTAAACTCCCAATATAAGTATTTTTTATCCCAAATCAAAAAAATAAGAAGATAGTAAAATCCATTTATTGTGATGTAAAAACATTATTATTATCGTTCTAAATAAATGACCGCACGCCTATGATACGTCATGAAATTACAAAGGACGCGCCGACCAAAGGTTTTCAGATAAAGTATACAGCCTTAACGCCGGTGTTGCCGCGCCATGGCATCGTGGTCACGTAGTGAGATAAGGGCAGTTTTGCGGTATAACTTTACGCGTGATTTAAGCATAGACTAGTGCTTAGAAGAAATTACGCTTGCATTAAAGAATGATTGTCCTCATTGTACGACTATATTCAGGTGGTAAAGAGAATTCCAACGGGACAATTTCGCTTTGGAGGACGCTGAGAGGGAAGGAAGGCCGCGAACGTCAGTAACAGAGGAAAACATTACAGTAACGTCTCATGTAACGTACATATTGGCTCAGCTTGGGGAGAATCCTTTACATGAACAACTTTGTCATAGTTAATTTAAAATAAAACACTTAATTTCGTGAGGCTTGAGAAAGCTGCTTCGAAACAAAAGTTTCTCATAGCTCTGATGTTACTTCTTTCATCACTAATCTGTTAAAAACTAGAAAGGTGACGCTTATTATTTACCTGAGGTGGAATATTCTCGTTGTTCTCTCCCGCTTCGGCATTAGATTTCTGCCCTTCAGACTGAGAACGTGACCTCCTAGGAAATCTTCTTGGCCTTCTAACTCTTTCTGTAGTCGATCTTCCATTATGTGCTTCGCCTTCGACGACGGTTTGCGCACCGTCGCCGTTTTGTACTTTTGGCTTCCTTCTGCTGAACCTTCTTGGCCCTCCTCTATACCCGTACCTTGGGCGCGGAGCAGGTTCCTCGGTCGCGCACAGTGTGGTGTCTCTACCTTCCCTAAAAATTGATGAAGGATCGCCAATGAGTAAACGACTAGTTAAATGTTTAACTAGAATTTGCTATTTTATTTTACACGTCCCTCGTGCGTGAGTTTTTGGCCTGAACCATGACAGAACACCCACGATACACATATACTGAAGATAGGATGTTGCGCATGTGGGCGGAGCTCCGTGACGTCACCCAGAGAGTTGTCGGCTCGTGGTTACCAGTGGCAGGATTGTCGTAACGTTACTGCAGTGCACGTATATAGTGCGATTTGTTCGTGATTTTTCGTGGGTTTATGACTTGTATTAGTTATATAGGGTTGTCCAATAGGGACGCAGGAAAGTAAACGTCAATTTGACATAGATGCCATCTTTGTTTTCTGTCACCGACATGTCATTTTGTTAGTTGAATGTTTACCATTGATCGCTATGGAGTCGTATTCGATTGAAGACCGCATTAAAGTTACAAAAATGGTTCAAAAATAAAAAACACGTTTCGCGCGCTTCGTGAACATTTCGGTCGCAACAACCGCCCAAACGAAACAACCATCGGTCGTCTGGTGCGTAAATTCGAGGCAACAGGTTCTGTGGCAAATCTGCCAGGCTCTGGCCGGCCAAGGAGCGTTCGCACACCGGAAAATATTGCTGTTGTGAAGGAGAGTGTGAGAGACGATCCGAAACAATCAACAACGCGTCGATCCCAAGAATTGGGCATTTCGAGAACCAGTTTGCTCCGCATTCTCCACAAGGATTTGAATGTACACGCCTACAAGATCCAATTGACGCAAGAGCTGCGTCGGGCCGACCATTTTTCGCGCCGAACGTTCTCAGATTGGCTCCTTGAACACCGCCAAATTGATGCCAATTTTTCATCAAAAATCATGTTCAGCGACGAAGCGCATTTCCTTTGAATGGGACGGTAAAAAAGTGACTGTGTGGTGTGCATTTTGGTCAAAAGGCATTATCGGACCTTACTTTTTCGAAAATGCGGCCGGGGACGCCGTTACCGTCAACTCTGAGCGATATCACGTGATAATAGAGGACTATTTTTGCCGCAACTTGAAGGAATGGATATGGACGATGTTTATTTCCAACAAGACGGTGCAACATGCCACACAACCAACGTCAATATCCATCGATTGCAGTCCTTATTCGGTGATCGCGTGATTTCGCGCAGAGGAAATGTGCCATGGCCACCAAGATCGTGCGATTTGACTCCCTTGGACTTCTTTTTATGGGGATATTTGAAAATCAAAGTCTACGTCAAGAATTCAAAAACAACATCATTGCCGAGATAAATAAAATAGAACCGACCATGTTGCAAAATGTCATTGCAAATTTCGACCATCGCGTGGACGTCTGTAAATCCAGTCGTGGTGAACATTTGGTGGTATAAATGAACCTTCAAAATAAAGTACCCAACTTGATTTGAATATCAATCTTTCTTGTTTTAATATGCGTTTACTTTCCTGCGTCCGTTTTGGACAACACATTACATACTTTATATACCCTGTGATGTTAGTAAATTGATAAAAATGCGGTGTACTGTTGTGGCATGTAATTCCGACCACCAATCTAAACGGAATCCTTGCAAAGCCACAGTTTTCCTCACGACCCAAACCTCAGCAAAAAATGGCTACATAATACAAAAAGAAAACTCAAAGACAGTGTAAAAAGCGCTAGGGTTTGCTCGAAGCACTTTAGTGAAAGTGCCTGTAAGGTCAATTTGAAACATACCCTTTTGGGTTACACCCCTAAAAGATGATGCCAGTCCTATGGAAAATTTACCCAAGTCTCTATCATCACCTGGACCATATAAATCTGTTGATGGGAAAAAGCGGAAAAGTGCTTACGAAAAAGGCAAAGGGCTCAACTTATCCCCTAGAGTTTAAGTATAGAATAAGGTCATATATTTTGGGGCGAAACGGAGGCGCATACTCAGAGCATTGCAGCGTAGAGGACATTCCACTAATCTGATAACGAGGCAGATGTGAACTCAATTCTCAGTGAAGTAAAGTCTTCTGTTAATCCAGCCAGCCTTAATGTTTGCATCAATAATACTCGAAAAATTCGTAATGGTATTGCTGTGGACTGCAAAGATGGCAGTTCCCTGAGCACACTGAAAGATAACCTTTGCAATAAATTGGGTTCTAAATATTCAATATCTGAAGCTAAGAAGCTGAATCCACGCCTGCTTATAAGAAACGTTAATTTGGATGGTCTTGACAATCCTGATGATTTGATTTCGAACATAGCTTCTCTCAACAACATTGATGGTTCTCTACTTAAGTTTGTCACTAAGCTCAAATCCTCCCGCGGAATCAACATCGTAATTGAAGTCACTCCTACTCTAAGATCGGAATTATTAAAGACAGGATTTTTATATATTGGTTGGAAAAAGTCACCTATCTCTGATCACTTTCGCATATTAAAGTGTTTTAAGTGCTGTTCGTTTGGTCATTCTGAAGCATCTTGTAAAGCTGATCTGTCCTGCCCAAGGTGTACGCGAAATCATAAAATCAAGGAGTGTAACTCGAGCGCCCTACAATGCGTAAATTGCCTGAACCATAACAAGGTATACAAGAAGATTCTACCAGTTGATCATTCGGCTAGTTTTCCAAACTGTCCTGTGTTTCTCAATTATGTTCAAACTCTAAAAGAAAGGGTGGATTATGGCTAACACTATAAAAAGTGTCTTGAAACTATGTCACTTAAATGTGCGTTCTCTAACAGCTCACTTTAATGATTTTGCCTCTCTTGTTCAATATAAGTTTGATGTTGTAGCAGTCACTGAAACATGGCTGCATTCCAGTATTGACAGCACTGTAGTCAATATACTTGGGTATAATTTCTTCCGTAAGGACCGTGGGAGCAGAGGGGGTGGCATCGGTCTCTATGTTAAATTAGATATAATCAGTAATCTTATCCCAGTTGAGCTCGATGACTTTATAAATCCTCTTGAAATGTTATGCTATAAATTTAAACTGCACGGGTCCAGTATGTTAATTGTTGTTATATATAGGCCACCACATTGCTCTATACATCAAGCCATCCAGTATTTAGAAAATCTTATCTCATTTTTCACTCCCCAATATGACAACATTATATTCTTGGGCGATATGAATGTCGACTTGCTTGCTCATAACAACATTCTCAGCAGCTGCTTTGATTCATTCAATTTCATTCAAGTCATTGATGAGCCTACACGTTTTACAGCCTTCAGTTCCACATTACTTGATCCAATATTTGTTAGTGACAATACTATCGTCAAAAGGTCAGGGACACTCAATGCAGACTCAATTAGTGATCATCGGCTCACATACTGTGATATTTCCGTTTGTTATAAAAAAATAGGGCCTAAATTTGTAACATATAGAAATCTTAATAGCATTGATATTCAAAGTTTTAAGACGCAGATTGGGACCGCGGTTGGCCGCGTGGGTCAGAGTGTCGTGCTACTGATCAGCCGGCCGGCCGGGTCGCGAGTTCGAATCTCGCCTTCGCCATGGATGTTGTGACGTCGTGTGTTTGTACATAATTAGATATATTCTATATACAACCTAGTTTCTGGCTGCATGGCTTAGTCCTAAAGCGCAAAAAAAAAAAAAAAAAAAACAAAAAAAAAAAGACGCAGATTGCATCAATGCAGCTTAATGACATTTATTTCGTGAATGATGTGGATATTAAAGTCTATATTTTTACTGGCCGTCTTCTTTATCTATTCGATCTCTACGCTCCGCTACGTACAGTACGTGTCACAAAACCTGCTGCGCCCTGGCTCACTCCTAACTTGAAAATGATTTTTCAACTCAGAGATGAGGCATTCGCTGTCTATCAGCATAACAGATCTGATCAGAATTGGGCCAGATACAAAGATTTGAGAAATTATGCCCTTGCATCGCTTAGAAGAGAGAAAAAAAAGCATATATGCCACGTTTCCGGAATCTTAACTCTAGTCAAGCTTGGAAACACCTGAGGAGGATGAATGTGGTAGCCCAGAAACATGTTGCGATACCTCCCAGTCTCCTTGAGCCTAACATTTTAAATAATTATTTTCTTTCAATTTTCCAGACAGCTGCAGCTGATACAAATTTGATTGATAGTGTCTCTAACTTTTATAGCGATAGACGCCATACACCGGATGCACCTCTGTTTGCTTTTAAACTCCTTACTCAGCAAGACATCGTCAATATAATCTCTCACATTAAGTCGGCATGTGGCTCTGCTGGTCTAACTTTAAATATGGTTTGCTTATGTTTGCCTGATACCATAGACCATATAACTCACATTATTAATGTCTGTCTCGAAACAGGTTACTTTCCTGCCAATTGGAAAAATGGTATTATTATTCCAATACCTAAAACTAATCATCCAGAACAATATTCGGATCTCAGGCCAATTACCTTATTATGCTTTCTATCAAAAATACTCAAAAGAGCTGTCTACTCACAACTAGTGGAGTTTTTCGAACAAAACCACTTATTTCCTCTACATCAGTCAGGTTTCAGAGCTGGTTACAGCACTACTTCGTCTTTATTACATCTTACTGATTCCATCATTCACAATTTAGATAATCACATCAACACCGTCTTGGTACTGTTAGATTTCTCGAAAGCCTTTGATATGGTCAATCACCAGATACTACTGAGTAAGTTATCTCATTATGGAATGTCAGATATAGTTCTAAGGTTCTTTGAGTCATACTTGCTAAATCGTCAACAAACAGTGAAAACTGATCAGGGAATTTCCTCCTCTGAGCCAGTTCCTTCAGGAGTTCCTCAGGGCTCAGTATTAGGTCCCTTACTATATCTGATACGATCGACCTGCAAGACTGTTTAGTCCACTGTAGTATGCAAACTTATGCAGATGATACTCAGCTAGTGTTTGGTTTCGATCCATCAAAGGTTGATGAAGTTTCTTTTAAAGTTAATTTAGATTTGGGTAACATCGGTGATTACTGTAACAAACACTGCTTGAAGATCAATCCTAATAAAACTACTGCAATGTTGTACTGTTCGAAGAACTCTTACTGTGAAATGAAGCAGAGGATTTGTATTATTTTGGATGAGACACTCATCCCTTTTGTGTGTTACGCCAAGAATCTCGGTGTTACCCTTGACTTAAATGTGATTCGATCGGCATGTCTCTTTCTTATCTAGAGTAACGTATTTGCGTTTGAAACTCCTCTATTCTAATCGATACATCTTGAATTTTAAAACCCGAAAAAAGCTTGCTGAAAGTCTTGTGATGTCTGTCATTTCTTACTCTCTTGTTCTGTATTACCCATGTTTAGACTACGTCCACAAAAGGAAACTCCAGAAAATTCAGAACAGCTGTTGTAGGTTTATTTTTGGATTGCGCAAGTTTAGTCGCGTCTCGGATAAAATCAAAGAACTCAACTGGTTGCGAATTGATAGGTTATTTTTATATCTTTTGACCGTCTTCACGCATAAAGTTCTATTATCTAACAGACCAGCTTACCTCGCTAGCAAATTAGTTCACCGAGGTAGTTTTGTTACCAGAGCTCTTAGATTTACTGCTAATTTTAACATGCCTCCTCACAATACCTCGGTCTTTGAAAGAAGTTACACCTATAATGCTGTCAAGCATTACAATGCAGTCAACAGTGGCTATCGATCCAAACAGGTTGTTTCTTTTAAGAAATTAATGAAAAGTCAGCTGCTGGAGTCCATTTAGTTCAGTTTTTCTTATGCTCATGTGATTTTTTTTCTTTTTTTTTTTTGTTTGACTATTTTCTACTATTTTTGTTTCAAATTTAAAACTCTCGCAATGCTATCTGCATTTGTCTCGTGCAATCAATGTTGTCATTCTTATGAATTGTATTTTTTTTTTTTGGTATGTTATTATTTTGTTTATGTGTGTAAGTATTCTTTTTCCTGTAGTGGGGTTGAGTGTAAGAGTAGCCGTCTGGTTAAACTTCGCCTCACTGCAGTTAATAAAGGCATTATTATTATTATTAACCGCATCATTAACGAATAACCTGAATGCACCTGATGTATCAGCTGACTAGGAAGTTTTAGTGGAAGAAATAGATGAGCTCGAGTATGATGGGCCGAAAAATTTGGAGGGCTTCGTTTCCTCAAATGAAACTTATTCCTGGATAGACCAGCTTAGTGAGAGTGGATTATCAAAACCTTCCACAGCTTTCATGTAACAAATTGAGAAGCTAAATAGTGTTTACTACATTCAATGGGGACGGAATAGTGACAGAAAAGCAAAATCTTATAGGCGAACTTCTGTTGACGAGCAGCAACATTGACTGCCCTGAAAAAGCTAAGAAACTATTTTTCAGGTCAAGGATGTTCTTCCGGATCAAAGAACTGAATAAAAGCTTGAAGGACCAGAAACATCGTAAAAGGAAATGGAGAAAAATTGTGGCTCAGACTAAGTCATTTCCATTTATTGTTATACCGTCAGCTTACTGCAAAAAGATGATAACTCCATTTTTCTAATTTTCGAGCTGCGTACATTTTCACACATGCATGTAATTAGTACTTAAGATGTTCTGTGAAATAAGGATGAATAAATGTAGTGCTGTATAAATGTCTTGAGCATGTTAATCCTGCTCCACAGAACATACTAAAATATAGGTAATGTAGAAAAATCTTGTTTTTACAGTAAAGTGACGATACACGGTCTACTGTGGAGCTAGAAAGCCGTTTAAGCTATAGCCTGTGAGATAGGAATTACAAGGTTGAAATCTTTTATTTAAATCCGCCATTTGGTTTTGTATAAAATTTTGATGCAGCCGTTTGGCCTGTAGGTGAAAATATGCACGTTATCCATATCAATCTAAATGAGAGTCACTCTCTGCGTGACGTCATGCGCGCCGGCGGACGAAAATCGAACAGCGGAGCATCAGGCAGTGCAGAACACCTGCCTTATGAAGTGCATCTTGTCTCAGGAGGGATACTTTGAAGGAGACCATTTCGAAATACCTGAACAATTATTGTAAAATAAAATTATTCCACTTTTATACGTATTTTCCGTATAAACCTGGTATAAACCTCTAAAGCAGACTCGTAAGCTATGTCTTGGTGTTAAACAAACAAAGACATGGTATGTGAGCTGCAATTTCACACATATTGAAGTATACGCCCAGTGAGGGGAAGAAAGCATAGCGAATAGAAACAAATTCTTCCTCTAGGATGCTTTGCCCATGACACTGGTCAACAAAATTTTTACTTTGTCGTGCCACACGGACTTTTTTGATATTTTTTACTTTAATTGGTGATTGTAAGAAAAAATAAACAGTTAAAAAAAATTTGCTAGACAAGGATTTTATTCTATTGAGTAATTTAAAATATTAAGAAAAAACCCAGATCTCTTAAATCAAGAGTTATTTTTTTTTTATAAATGACTTAATAATCTAAGATTTTCTTGAATATTTAGCTTCTGGTTGGTCCCTTTTAATTGTCCAGCAGTAATCTGCTAACATATTTGGGCTCCATTTGCCCTGGTACCGCTTTTCCATATTAGAAATGTCCTGATGGAACCTCTCACCGTGCTCGTCGCTGACAGCCCCTAAATTGTCAGGAAAAAAATCCAGGTGCGAGTCTAAAAAATGGATCTTAAGTGACATGTTGCAACCCAATGCTTGATATGACAATAATAGATCGCTAACCAACTCTCTGTAGCTGTCACTCTTGTGGTTACCCTAAAAATTTGAAACAACATTTTTAAAAGCCTTCCATGCAGATGTTTCTAAATCGCTTAATTTTTCTTCAAATCTTGAATCTTTTATTAACTCCCTAATTTGAGGGCCAACAAAAATACCCACTGCGTCACTTATTTTAGGGAATGTTTCTTTTAGATACAAAAATCCACTCCCATTGCGATCCATTGCCTTCACAAAATTTTTTATTACTCCTAATATGATATGCAATGGTGGTAGAAGCACATTATTTGGCTGTACAAGGGGTAAATACTTTACGTTTTTTTGCCCAGGAACGCACGCGTAGGCCATGTTTTTTTTATATAGTGATTAGTTCTGTCTCGGCTATCCCATTCACATAAAAAGCAGCAAAACTTTGTATAACCCAGCTGAAGTCCAAGTAATAGTGCAACAACTTTAAGAGCACCGCAGATTTTGAAGGAATATGTACTGTAATTTATTTTTTCAAGTAAAAGTTTCATATTTTCATAGGTTTCTTTCATATTTGCAGCATGGGCCAGAGGTACAGACGGAAGCTTATTTCCATTATGCAATAACACTGCTTTTAGACTTGCTTTCGAAGAATCAATGAATAAACGCCACTGAGAGAGATCAAAATCTATGTCCAACATTTTCATAATCTCATTTATGTTATTGCAAAACACCAAATCTCCATCCTGAGAAAAATACGTTCTGAAGTGTTGATCACGGTTTCGACAATAGCTAACTTTTGTATTATAATGTAGCAAATTCCATTCTTTTAGACGTGATCCTAATAGTTCTGACTGCTTTTTTGACAAATTTAAATCCCGAACCAAATCATTTAGGTCTCCTTGAGTTATCAAATGTGGCTCGTTTACAATTCCTTTTAACTCAAAGTCATCGTCCTCGTCAACACATTCACCTGAAGTGGACGGTTGTGAATTGTTCTCAACAGACGTAGTTGCAACTGGTATTAGTTCTGGCAATTTTTTACAATGAGAGACTGGTCTTATAGCCGAAGATAAGTTAGGGTAAATAACTGTGGTTTTTTTCTTGTAATTTATACCTTTTATGTCTGTGAGACAAATATAGCAATCTGATACGTGATCTCGCTGTTCAGTCCATATCATGGGTACAGCAAACGGCATAGGTCGTGCACCTTTCTTCCAGTCAGTTAAATTTTTCACACACGTTATGCAACAGACATGAGGGGCCCAGGATTTGTCTTGATGGGCGACAGAAAAACCAAACCATTGGTGATAACACTCCAACACAAGATTCGTAAAATTTCGTCGTTGTTTTTTGAATGTTAGTTCTCCGCAGACATAACAAAAAGAGTTAGCTTCATTATTACACTTCCTCGACATATTCACAGGGTTAATAAATCACAAAAAAGTGTTCAAATTCAACAACAAATATTTTTATAAGGATTTACTTGTAAGCGTTTCTGTTAATTTACTGCCGTAGTACTACTTATGAGTATTACCGTATCACAACAAATATGAGGCTAATAGACATATGACAGCTGTCATGTAATAATGAGGGTAGACTGATAAAACAAAATTAGCTGTCAAAGTTCGTGTGGCAAAACCAGTGTTGACTAGTGAATCAAATACGGCAGACTGAAGCGAGATATGACATACGCAAAGAAAATGTTCAAGTCGCTACGCCTCATTGAGACCTCAAGTGTGCTTATCATTTGTGCAAGTCAAGCTTCCTTACTTTTCATGTTTTTCCTTCATTTTTTGCAATACTTTAATACGGTTGACACGTGACTCGGTTAATATGTTCCAATATATCCCTTCGGGCCTTGGTAGTTTGTTTTCAACTTTAATTATCGTTGTAGGAGTCACGATATAATCAACAGGTACGTCGTATTTCTCAAATAACTCTTTGGGCAATTCGTCATATACCTGCAAAAAAGATCACAGTAAGGCCTATTATTAAACTTATACCAACAAAGAGGCGCTACGTAATTGTTTGATCCTGAAAAATATTAATTCATTCGACCAATTATACTAAGTGACATATAAATCCGAACACCCAGTTTAAATGGTTTTATTTTAATAAAATTTTGAATAAGTACTTAATGAAGCATAATCAGTAAATGATAAAAATTTCAAAATGATTGTACTGCTTTAAAGCCCTTTGACCTTTAATAATGTGTGGATGCACCCTGATGTGCTACGCATTCTCCAACACGCCTAGGCATGCTTCTGATCAGGTGGTCAATGTCCTCCTGTGGTATCTCATTCCAGGCAACCACCAACTCCTCTCGAAGTGCTTCTAGAGTCTGAGGAGGACGTTGCAAATTGAGCAATCTGCTTACCCATCATATCCCACACGTGCTCAATTGGGGATAAGTCGGGAGATCTTGGTGGCCATGGTAACAATGTGACATCATTATGTTGAAAGAAGTCGATTGTGACTCTTGCAACATGTGGTCGGGCATTATCTTGTTGGAAAGTTGGATCTGCCAGGGTGTCAAGATAGGGTAAAAGATGGGGTTCTAGAATTTCGTGGATATAACGCTGCGCGTTCATGTTACCTCTGATGAAGATTAAAGGTGACCTGGAACCATAAGCTATAGCACCCCAAACCATAACTCCAACAGTGTGATGAACATGTCTTTCAACAAAAAACTGTGGATACCTCCTTTCATCACGTCGCCTTCTAACCCTGGCACGACCATCGTGCATGCCTAAACAAAATCGAGACTCGTCACTAAAGACAATACTGTTCCATTCCTGATCCCAGACTGACCGTTGTCTGCACCACTCAAGGCGATTACGTCGGTGTTCTCGAGTTAAAGGGAGGACCCAGTGTGGCCGGTATGAAAACAAGCCAAAACTTCTCATTCGTCGGTAAACACTTCGCATGCCAATAGGTCTTCCGTGTTCTGCAAACCATTCATTTGCAATGGACCTGGTAGTGGAGAAACGGTCCCTTAAGGCCAATAATCTTAGGCGGCGATCTTCACGGTCTGTTGTTCTACGGCGGCGTCCAGTGCCCCTTGCTCTTTGCGTACGGCCTTCTCGAAGCCATGCCTGACAACACCTAACCACAGTGTCTACACTTCTTTGCACTCTAACTGCAATTGCCCGAAAAGAAAGTCCAGCTTCCCCCGAAGTCCCACTATACGGCCCCTATCAAACTCACTAAGTTGACGAAATCGTACAGATCTCCGTACTCTAGGCATCGTAACCGATCGTAAAGGATGTCAAGAACCAAAATCCGCCAACGTTGATTCTTTACTGCGGCTGAAATATTCATTTTTAGAGCGTTAGTGAATTAAAAAAAGCAGTATAAAAACCGGAATGTCCAACTGATAAGGCTGAAAATTTTTTCACTTGTTATTTACAGTAAGATAAATACATTCACCAACTTTTATTAAAATAAAACCATTTAAACTGGGTGTTCGGATTTATATGTCACTTAGTATATCAAGTTTCGAACTTACTTGGCTGTCATGCACGATGGTCACAATAACAGTGTTGTCATCGATAGCGTTAATTTCTTTAAGAACGGCAAACTCAATGTCAGCGTACCCGCTGCCTTTGCCTATGCGGTGTCCATCTTTCGATACAGCGACGCTCCCCAACACCAACATGTCAATGTGGAACTTATCATCTATATCAATCTTTGTACCGACATTGTCGATGCCCCACCTGGTAACGATCTTGTTAATACTGTTCACTCCATCACTCTCCAATTTATTCAGCATGCTCCCTTGAATCCTTGGACTGGGAACGTAGAGGTCCTTTTCGTTCTCTAGGACCACCCTTCTGGCGGGCTCCAGAGCCTTGTCCGGGTTCACTTCCACAGATTTTGTTTCTTTAAATTCGGGCAGCTCGATAAGTTTGGTCGCCGCTTTTTCGGCTTCTTTGAAGTTGGGAATTCGCCTGTACGGCCATGGGAATACCGCAGCCTTGATTTTCACCAAGTTGGACCATACTTCCTCGCGAATTGAATGCTTCGTTACTGCGACTGCTATGGGATATATCAACATCAGTGAAAACTTAAGGTAAAATGGTGAATATAAATAATAAACTCAACAATACACTACTTGCCTAAAGGGCGTCTGTCACGATACGAAATTTTGTGCTAAATTTAGTACGCTTTCATAAATAAAATTAAAGGTAGTGTCAGACAGCATTTAGTACGTCATTTTGCATGAACAAATTTAGTGCTAATTTTTTTAGAACCTGTTCTAAATGATATCATGCTGAAGGATCGCAGACACCTACTGCGCATTTGGAGCAAACCAGCTTGGTTTCCCAAATTACGGAGTATAGTCATATCTGAGGAAAAAATAGAGAAGATGTGCCTTCAATTTGGGGTACTATCGCGATTTTTCTAATACATTTCCCGATTAGAGCACTAATATCACTTATGACACTTTATTATTAACCACTGAGTTTCGCTAGGAAGTGTCTTAGGACCGATTCTTTTTTTGATTTATATCAATGATCTGCCAAACTGCAGCATCAATCTATGTATATTATTTGCAGATGATATGTCATCAATATCTGCCAATCATATATTTGGCTAGCAGCAGAATTTTGATAACATACAAAACTGATTTAATGCGCAACAGTTTGTCTCTTAATATACTGAAAACTCAATATTTTCTACTCAGTACTTGTCCACATAAAAGTAATTTAGTAGAACCCGTGAAATTTCTTGGAGTGTTGATGAGAAGTTAACTTGGGAATCATACATCACCTCTTCATCAAAGAAGTTATCTAAAATAACTTAGTTCAACTACCTAGAGTCCGTTCAAGTATTACGTAAGCAGATTTATTAGAATTATTTGTCAATTAATGTATTGTTTTTTTAAATATTATAATTATAACACGCATTACTGTTGTGATTCATTACCGGGTTTTATTTTATCTTCTTCCTCTTTTTTAATATTTGAAGCTGACCGTATAATTTGTTTTTTCTGCAGGTTTACAGGTTGCCTAAAAATAAAAACTTTCTATGGCTTCTGTTGAAGATTCTCTTATTAAGCTACATAAATACAAAGTATGGCAATATATATGGTAAATACAAAACCCTCTGGCTTTAAATATAATATGTTTAAACGAGCAATTCGTTCCGGTCACAAAATACAGGGTGTTAGTTTTCTGTATATATGTATAAAATTAACATCCTGTACTTTGTGACCAATTGACGGAATCAATCATAAGAAATAAATCTATAATATAATGAATATTACCTCTATACTTTGAGATAGGCCATAATATTTTCTAATCAGTAAAGAGAAACTTTTTGGCGATTTCTAATATTTCTAGTATTGCTAGGTACCTAAAATGATTTCGTCACTCACCTTAGAAAAAAAATTTAGTAGATTGGATTTATTCTTAGTCGCCGCTTGCAATTCTTCTTCGATTCTCTTAGATACAATAATATCTAGTTCCTTGACGGATTTTGCGTGTAATTTGTAATTTCGCCACACTTCGTTAACTAACTTTTGTACATTTTGTACTTTCGTACTTGTATGAGATTTCTTAAAACTTTCAAACAATTTTTGGTATAACTTGGATTTGTCTATGTGAAACGACATCTTATTTGAACATTAAACTTTGGCTAATGGCATCAATGATAACACGAATGTTAACTTGCTTCACTATGCTTACCATACGTCTACTCATTATAGTATCCAAACGAAACAATACACTGATATAAACGTACGCATTATTTGCGGGAATCCCCGAAAATGCGTTTCATTTTCAAGCAAAGACAATGTGAGGGTTGCCATTCGTGTAAAAAAGGAAATAACTACAGATGACGTAATCATCATCTAGACTCCCCTGCCCCCCTTGTCATCCAAAATAAGCAAAGCAAAGACCCCCCCGCCCCCCCATAGTGCTCACGTAATACTTGAACGGCCCCACTACATAGCAAAATCGACTTTGATGACAGCTTATCATGCTTACTTCAAATCTAACTTGCGATACTGCGTTTTCGTATTACATTTTTTTTTGTTCAAATGCTGAGACTTTTCTAGACGTGTATAAGCACTGTTGTGTACAGATACCAATAAATTATTATTATATCCTCATCCAGAAATTGCAAGTGAATTTTACAATATAACCCTGATTTACCAGTTTTTTACTTTCGTTTCCGTAACATAACAGAGTTTTTATCTCTCTTCTCTCTGTCACTTTTTGTGTATTGTGTTTTTTTTTGAAACCACAACCTCTAATAGAGTTTTCCACAGAAAAGTTGCATGTTTTAACTTTTTTTCAAAAACCTATATTGTTAAGAGTTCAAGAGAACAAAAGGAATATTTGATTGTTATGCCAATAGAGTCTAAAATTCAGGAAAGACTAACTGGAAAAAATTATCTACAGAGTATATGTCAGCTCTGCCAATCTTCCCTCAAGATCAGACAAGTAAAAAATAAAAACAATTGAACCAAAATGGGATATTTATGTTCTTTATAATTAATTTCTAAAAACACCTGTTCTAATAAATGCTGGACATCGGATAAAAAATGCCAAGAAATTATTTTCTTGTACAGTGTAAATATCTTTTTAGTTGAATTCCAGGACACTGTGGCTGCTAGGAGGATCCCAACGAAACTTTGTTAACCCGATTTTTGAACTGCCTAAGTTTATGAGAACTGGGAAAAGCCTCCTCTTGTAGATTGTTCCACAATCCCAACACCCTATCCAGTAATAACAGTATATCACTTATTTCAAGACATCGTCAATATAATCTCTCACATTAAGTCTACGGCATGTGGCTCTGATAGTCTAACTTTAAATATGGTTTGCTTATGTTTGCCTGATACCATAGACCATATAACTCACATTATTAATGTCTGTCTCGAAACAGGTTACTTCCCTGCCAGTTGGAAAAATGGTATTATTATTCCAATAGCTAAAACTAATCATCCAGAACAATATTCGGATCTCAGGCCAATTACCTTATTATGCTTTCTATCAAAAATACTCGAAAGAGCTGTCTACTCACAACTAGTGGAGTTTTTCGAACAAAACCACTTTTTCCTCTACATCAGTCAGGTTTCAGAGCTGGTTATAGCACTACTTCGTCTTTATTACATCTTACTGATTCCATCATTCACAATTTAGATAATCACATCAACACCGTCTTGGTACTGTTAGATTTCTCGAAAGCCTTTGATATGGTCAATCACCAGATACTACTGAGTAAGTTATCTCATTATGGAATGTCAGATATAGTTCTAAGGTTCTTTGAGTCATACTTGCTAAATCGTCAACAAACAGTGAAAACTGATCAGGGAATTTCCTCCTCTGAGCCAGTTCCTTCAGGAGTTCCTCAGGGCTCAGTATTAGGTCCCTTACTATATCTGATTTATACGATCGATCTGCAAGACTGTTTAGTCCACTGTGGTATGCAAACTTATGCAGATGATACTCAGTTAGTGTTTGGTTTCGATCCATCAGAGGTTGATGAAGTTTCTTTTAAAGTTAATTTAGATTTGGCTAACGTCGGTGATTACTGTAACAAACACTGCTTGAAGATCAATCCTAATAAAACTACTGCAATGTTGTACTGTTCGAAGAACTCCTACCGTGAAATGAAGCAGAGGATTTGTGTTTTTTTGGATGAGACACTCATCCCTTTTGTGGATTACGCCAAGAATCTCGGTGTTACCCTTGACTTAAATATGAGATTCGATCGGCATCTCTCTTTCTTATCTAGAGGAACGTATTTGCGTTTGAAACTCCTCTATTCTAATCGATACATCTTGAATTTTAAAACCCGAAAAAAGCTCGCTGAAAGTCTTGTGTTGTCTGTCATTTCTTACTCTCTTGTTCTGTATTACCCATGTTTAGACTACGTCCACAAAAGGAAACTCCAGAAAATTCAGAACAGCTGTTGTATTTTTATTTTTGGATTGCGCAAGTTTAGTCGCGTCTCAGATAAAATCAAAGAACTCAACTGGTTGCGAATTGATAAGTTATTTTTATATCTTTTGACCGTCTTCACGCATAAAGTTCTACTATCTAACAGACCAGCTTACCTCGCTAGCAAATTAGTTCACGAGGTAGTTTTGTTACCAGAGCTCTTAGATTTAATGCTAATTTTAACATGCCTCCTCACAATACCTCGGTCTTTGAAAGAAGTTACACCTATAATGTTGTCAAGCATTACAATGCAGTCAACAGTGGCTATCGATCCAAACAGGCTGTTTCTTTTAAGAAATAAATGAAAAGTCAGCTGCTGGAGTCCATTTAGTTCAGTTTTTCTTGTGCTCATGTGATTTTTTTTTTTTTGTTTGACTATCTTCTACTATTTTTGTTTCAAATTTAAAACTCTCGCAATACTATCTGCACTTGTCTCGTGCAATCAATGTTGTCATTCTTATGAATTGTATTTTTTTTTTTGGTATGTTATTATTTTGTTTATGTGTTTAAGTATTATTTTTTCCTGTTGTGGGGTTGAGTGTAAGAGTAGCCGTCTGGCTAAACTTCGCCTCACTGCAGTTAATAAAGGCATTATTATTATTATTATTAATGTCCAAGCTTTGATATTTGATGTCCCTTATTCCTCTGAGTAATGAACTGTGCCTCATTCAGAAGGCTGGCATAAACACTCATGCTAATGAGGGGCGAACCTAGAAAACACTTTTGGGGGGTCGATATGATGAATTTGAATTACCCTCTCAAAAAAGTGGGAAGAGGGGTTCAACATTCATATTCAGGAAGATGTGCATCTTGAAAAGAAGAGTGGGTGTTGGCAATTGAAAACTGGAGAGCACTGGGATCATCTGCAAGACCCCCACGACACACTCCCTTACACTAATAAATGTACTTGCCAAGAAAACCATCAAGCAAGTTTGTGCTATACGACATCTTGTTGTCAAGAATACAGACATACTTTCCTGAAGCAAGTAGGTACACAAAAATTAACCTTCAGTATATTTCACTCATGTCAAGCAAATGACACTACATCTTACTTGACAATTTAGGTATTTACAAGTAAAACGTACAATTTGCACAAGTGTCAATGCCTTTATGCTGTTTCTTCAAAGGCATCCCCAATTAACACATGAAACCATTCATTTCAATCACTACAGTCCCTTGATCAGATACTACAGAAATGCCATTACTTAGTGGAGGAGGAACTGAAAAAGGGAATCCTTCCAGTCTTTAAATATCCAGGATCGTTAATGGGGGACGATTCAAATTTATATAACTTCTCACAAGATTCTGCTGCAGTTTGGTCTTTCACTTTTTGCTGTTGGGGATACATGCCTATTGAATTTCCAAGCAAGGGTTCCTTATCAATCTATCTTTTTCTATATTTGATCACTACTGTACAGTTTGCTAGATGACTAGAAATCCAGATCAAATACAAGTCTATCAAGGGATAAATTCTTGAACAGAGGTACGATGAGAAGATAATAGCACTTGAGGATCGAAAACCGGATCTCTTATCAACATTTACAGATGCCAACAAAACAAAATACATTGTATACCGAATTTTATCAGCTTAAAAACAACTTGGTGGCATTTTTTTAGTAGCATCAAAAACATATAGGTTATTCAGTGAAACAAAAGGCACTTACGTTTGGTAGCTGGTTTTTCAACAGGGGCAGTTGTAGTTTCGACCATTTTTCCGCTCAAAAACCTCTCCTAGCAATCAAATATGTAGCCTTCTGACGACTAAGCACCCACTCATTTAAATGATTCTTGCGTCCGCATCCGCTGCTGCATCGGAGATCGCAATCAGAATTTTTGACAGATGAAGTTTGCACTTGCTATTTTTTGCCAGCGGCCAATATGATTTTCAAGGCCATAAAATTTGCATTTTTTGCATATGAGTAATTTTCAACTTAAATTCGATGTAGGATCTTCTGTTTCGATATTTTGATTCATAATAATACAAAAAATATATATTTATGCCCAGTAGTGCCTTATCTCTTTACGGTGCAACCGTATTCAAAACTCTGGATATTCGGCGCAAGGTGTAATACTGGTTGCCTTAACTTTTGGGATACAAAGTATCAGCAACGGAATGAATGTTCAATTCGCCCTCGAATTCGAGAGGCGATATTACAATGCTGAAGTGACCATTACTCCCACCATTAATTACCCTACTTGCCAATATTCAACACCACTCGTATTAAAAAATAGTCTGACAGCTCTAAGGGCGTCTATGGGGCGGAAAATTAATGACTCTGAACTGAACACTTATAAATCCCCAGTTTTAACATTTTTTTACCTACTTCTTTTATGCATATCTGACCTTTACCACCAAATGGAAGAAACAATGTTTTATTATTTAAATGTATTAAATAAATATTTGATCTGAAATTAGGTAGATACATGATCATTAAGAGGAGAACTATGATTTTCATTTTCTCTACTATTTATTACGGGAAAACCTAAACCGACACTGCTGTAACAAGTCAAAAATTTACAAAATATAAAACAAAACAAGTCGGCCCCAACAGAAGCTATCATGTGGAAATGAATAGACAACTTTTTGCAATGCACCATACCATAGTACTATTGAGAATAACGTACCAACTACAGCATCCGAAAAGGAGGATATTAAAAGATGGTTGAGCAACAATGTAATTGATTTTAGTCGTGACATGTTCAAAGCACAACTACTTCAGGTACAGGAATACAAACCGCCTATAAGATATGTTGTTGATGCATTAGCCCAACAGTATGGACATGAAGTATTACGATTACTGCTCTATCATTGCATTTTTAACCCTATTGAAAATATTTGGGACATAAAGTTCTACTACAACAAACATTTGGGTCGAGATGGCCGAACTGTAGAGCACTGTATATCACATACTGAGAGATGGTGGGAAAGAGAGAAATATCTGACATGTTACCAATTTTATTATAAATAATGTGAATGAGCAAGATAGTGATATCAATTCAGAGAGTTCTAGTGAATATAACTTTTGTCAAATAAACTATTTATCTAGCCACTATTATTTATACTTTGAACAATTTCATTTATACAGGGTGTCCCAGAAGTCGATGTCAAGCCGAAACCGGGTGATAGGCAAAGTCATAACAGCTATCAGAAAAATATTTAAAAAAATTTTATGTATGTGGTTTGAAAATTATAGGTCTTTTAAAAAAATATAGAAATTTCACACCCTACGGCAGTCTGTCAACTCCTGTTACTACAAATATTAACTTTTTTTGGATTTTATTTTTACAATGTAATGATGAATAATGCATCTTCAAACTGGTGCTTCAACCTTACTGCCAACTTTTCTCGTTCAGGAAAAATTACCACTTATTTCCCAACCAAGTATTCCAAAGTAAAACTTTGCTCAACTTTAACTGGCTGTACTGGAAAAAAATGTACTACGAGAGTTTGGCAAGTAACCTTAAAAGTTGGCGCATTTAATAAGGATTCCAAAATGGTATAACACTTAGAAGATTACTCGTTAACTTATGCACAATTTTTATTTGAAAAAAAACTGATGAAAATTTTTCAAAATTTCCTAATTAAACAGCGATTATGAAAACGCACAAGGATCCTTGAGGATAACTGTTTGCACAACAGTGGGCGTCAAAATGCTGCTGATGATGATTTACCTTTACAGCAAATGCTCAAACTGTTTTCCTTCAGCCGCAATACACGCTCGACGTCTTCTTAAAAAAGATCGGGTTATTAAACGAGCGAATCCACGGTTATTAACAAACTCAGCTGCTTCCAATAGTCTTTGCCGTAGCTCAGCTACATTTTGAATCGGCTTGAAATACACCTTTTCTTTTACAGTTCCCCAGTAAAAAAATCTAAGGGATTCAAATCAGGTGATCGGGCTGGCCACGGTATTGTACCAGACCGCCTTATCCATCTGCCTGGAAAGTTTTGATCGAGATACTCTCTCACTGAGAGTGGATAGTGCGCTGGGCAGCCATCATGCTGAAACCACATGTCCCTGTAAATACTCAGTGGCACGTCCTCCAATAAATTTTCTAAATGATTTTGCAAAAAAACTAAATAAACCTCAGCAGTCAAAGTCTCTGGGAACTCAAATGGACCGATTATTTTACCATTTAAAATTCCTGTCCAATGGTTTATCTTGAAGCGATATTGAGATTTATCTTCTCTCATCAAATGTGGGTTTGCTACGTGCCACTCGTGTAAGTTATGCAGGTTCATGTACCCATTCTTCTTAAATGTGGTCTCATCTGACCATAAAATTTTTTCAAAGAACCGTGGATCTTCCCTGTGTCTTTCTAACATTGTGCGACAAAAAGCAACTCGGGGCTCATAATCCCGGGGCAGAAGAGCTTGAACACGCTGTACGTGGTATGGATGGAGCACGTTTTTTTGCAAGATTCTATGGGCTGTACTTTTGGGCACACCTGTTTTTAGTTCTATTGCACGCACTGAAGTACTCGGGTCTTCTTCGACAGCTCCTAGCACCACGTCTTCGTAAGGAAGGAAAGATCTTCCCTCACCGTGTGATTAGTTTGGTAGTTGGCCCTCTGAGAACAGTAAGCGGTGCACATTTGTGAACACTCGATGATCTGGATGACGAGCTGCATTCGGGTACCTCTCACAGTAAAGTCTCGCTGCAGCATATCGTTGCATCTGCATTCCCCATAAATGAGGTGCACGTCAGCATATTCGTGTACGGTGTACACGGACATAGCGGCACTGCACAATCATACTATCAAAGTAGTCTAAGGAAAGCAAATATTGTTTTGAAGAGCAATTAACACGTTCGCTGCTCACGCCGACAACGTGGCGGCATAAGAATATGTATGCGAGTGCTCACGCCGCAACCTTGTCGGCGTAGTCCCTGTTGTAGTTAAATATAGTTATAAGCGAAGCGCGCCTCAGTGTGCCTTTTACTTTAGTAGGAGCATGTTGCTTAGTGTTCTAACCTTAAAAATTCACACGTGGTTCGGAATTTAGTACATTAATTTTGCAATGGCGGACAATCCCATTCCGGGACCTTCAGTATCGAAAAGATTAAGGTTTAGGCGTATCTTTCTGAGGATTCCTTAGACGACGAACCATTTGAAGACTCCGGAAGTGAATGGAGTGGTGCAGAAGATATAATCGAAGAGGCAGTAAACTCCTTGGAAAGCGACTCCGGGCATTCAAATGATGAGGCGGAAGTCCCTTCATTGAGCGAAATGTGGACAGAGGGCCCTCCGCAATTAAAAAAAATTATGTTTACTGGGCAGCAACGATTGAATGTACCAGTACCTGATAGAAGGAGGCCCATCGATTTTTTTTCCTCCTCGTGGACGATAATTTTTTTGAACTACTGGTCCGAGAAACTAACAGTTACGCAGAAATTGTGTTGCTGAATGAATGTCAAGGGCCCCATTCCAGGATTAGCCGTTGGAAACCAGTCAATAAAGAAGAAATGTCAATATTTTTAGGAATGACATTTTATATGGGTATACTCCAACTACCAAGATTTAGGGACTATTGGCGTACCGACCGTTTATACAACTTTAGGATCAGGAAGTTCATGAGCAGAGACAGATATCTAATTATATTGCGATGTCTTCATTTTGCCGAGAACCCTCGAGCTGGGGGAGCAGCTCCAAGTGATAGATTATACAAGGTTCGCCCTTTGCTGGATTTCTTCAACAAGAAAATGTCGATAATTTATTCGCCAGGAAAAACCTGTCTATCGACGAATCCATGCTTCTTTGGCGCGGGCTTCTGTTTCGTCAATATATAAAAAACAAAAAGCACAAGTATGGCATAAAGTTTTACCTACTTACCGAATGTGACGGAACTATTTTAAAAATACAGATTTATTGTGGTGTTTTTGACGATTTAGGTGGTAAAGGACACGCTGCAAATGTTGTTCTCAATCTGTTGGATAATTACTGTAATAATGGATATAGTGTGTACATGGATAATTTCTATAACTCTGTATCGCTTGCACGTCAGTTACTGGAAAATAAGATCTTTTGTACGGGAACGTTGCGCGCTGGAAGAAAGGATACCCCCAAGGAAGTAAGTACATCAAAACTGAAAACAGGTGAATCTATCTATCGTTATGGGGCAAATGTGTGTGTGGGTAAGTGGAAAGACAAAAGGGAGGTGCTATATATCACAACAGAACATGAAAACACATTTGAAGAAGTGACTTCTAGATCTGGTAATAAAAAAAGTAAACCAACTCCTGTAGTGCAATATAACAAATATATGTCTGGCATAGACCTGCAAGACCAGATGCAGTCTTATTATCCCTCACATAGAAAGACAATTAGATGGTACAAAAAAGTGGGTCTACATATTTGCGAGATGATGCTCCATAATTCTTACATGCTTTACAACAAATATTCTGGGCAGAAGATGTCATTGTTAGATTATAGAGAGTCAATCACAGAAGCACTGCTTCCAGATATTCCAGATAGCGCAATTCAGAACCAGACCAGTGGGAAGGAACCATCAACTCAACATCTTCCATCAAAATGTGAAGCAAGGAGTGAAAATAATAGAAGACAGCGGAAGAGGTGTCGCTGCTGTTCCAAACGTGGTGTTCGCAAAGATGCCATGTACTTTTGTAAATCGTGTCCAGATTTACCAGGACTATGTCTAGAACCTTGTTTCAAGGAATTCCACGAAAATCTAAAATAAAATGATATATAGGTTTGTTTTATTTTGTTTTAATTTGCTGTTTATAATTTATGTTATATAAAGAATATATTTTTTATTATTTGAATGTTAAGTTCAGGGAAGTATGATTTTGTTTTTTAATTATAGTCATTTATTTGCTTTTATATTTTGTGCAAAATATATAGTAAATAAAGATGTTTGAAGGGTAGTTATTATTGACGACACATGTGCGTCATTGAGCACCTAGCAAGAATAAATAATGCGCAGTGCTCATGCCGCCACCTGTGCGTCGTGTCTTTTTTTTCTGTAAATTTAAAGAAAAAAGTATTTTTAATTGTAGTTTCAACTAATTTATGCAACAGTCCAAATCCAAATCACAAGCGATCAACAGTCCAGTTCACGAATCCAAAATTAGTAACAGTGCGAAATCAACAAGCACGAACATGTAAAGATGCGCAGTAAACGAAGGAGTACTGATAGGTATCAAAGTGTGCAATAGCAAGTAAGTGATGTGCTTCATCCATACCACATACAGCGTGTTCCACCTCTCCTGTCCCGGGATTATGAGCCCCGAGTTGCTTTTTGTCGCACAATGTTAGAAAGACACAGGAAAGATCCACAGTTCTTTGAAAAAATTTTATGGTCGGATGAGACCACATTTAAGAAAGATGGTTACATGAACCTGCATAACTTACACGAGTGGCACGTAGCGAACCCACATTTGATGAGAGAAAATAAATCTCAATATCGCTTCAAGATAAACAATTGGACAGGAATTTTAAATGGTAAAATAATCGGTCCGTTTGAGTTCCCAGAGACTTTGACTGCTGAAGTTTATTTGGATTTTTTTTAAAATCATGTACAACATTTATTGGTGGACGTGCCACTGAGTATTTACAGGGACATGTGGTTTCAGCATGATGGCTGCCCAGCGCACTATGCACTCTCAGTGAGAGAGTATCTCGATCAAAACTTTCCAGGCAGATGGATAAGGCGGTCTGGTACAATACCGTGGCCAGCCCGATCACCTGATTTGAATCCCTTAGATTTTTTTACTGGGGAACTGTAAAAGAAAAGGTGTATTTCAAGCCGATTCAAAATGTAGCTGAGCTACGGCAAAGACTATTGGAAGCAGCTGAGTTTGTTAATAACCGTGGATTCGCTCGTTTAATAACCCGATCTTTTTTAAGATGTCGAGCGTGTATTGCGGCTGAAGGAAAACAGTTTGAGCATTTGCTGTAAAGGTAAATCATCATCAGCAGCATTTTGACGCCCACTGTTGTGCAAACAGTTATCCTTAAGGGTCCTTGTGCGTTTTCATAATCGCTGTTTAATTAGGAAATTATGAAAAAATTTCATCAGGTTTTTTTCAAATAAAAATTGTGCATAAGTTAACGAGTAATCTTCTAAATGTTATACCATTTTGGAATCGTTATTAAATGCGCCAACTTTTAAGGTTACTTGTAAACTCTCGTAGTACATTTTTTTCCAGTACAGCCAGTTAAAGTTGAGCAAAGTGTTACTTTGGAATACTTGGTTGGGAAATAAGTGGCAATTTTTCCTGAACGAGAAAAGTTGGCAGTAAGGTTGAGACACCAGTTTGAAGATGAATTATTCATCATTATATTGTAAAAATAAAATCCAAATAAAGTTAATATTTGTAGTAACAGGAGTTGACAGACTGCCGTAGGGTGTGAAATTTCTATATTTTTTTCAAAGACCTACAATTTTCAAAACACATACATAAAATTTTTTTAAATATTTTTCTGATAGCTGTTATGACTTTGCCTATCACCCGGTTTCGGCTTGACGTCGACTTCTGGGACACCCTGTATGTTCATTTGTCTTATAGCTGTTTTAGAGTGTTGTGTAATTTACCTAACTTGAATTATAAAGTTGTTATAATGTTAAAATATGGTTTGAGTGGGTAGTAAAACTTTGAAGTATCTATTCTAAAATTTGTTATTGCTTTCCCTGTACCCTATTTTTCATATTATTTTCCAAAAGTGAGCTAATTTCCTGCTAGTCACTAATACGCGCGGTACTGTAATGTTGGTTGCGGTCTACCACCGTCACTATCTCTAGCGTTTACAAAACATAAGGCATCGAAAACAAAGATTTTAATAATATCACCGACGTCTGTTACAATCTGAAATACCACAAAAAAATGAGTCTGTCCGGCGTGAGCTCAACCATTCTTATAATACGTTTTTTATGTCGCTAAAAACGACCAATAAAAATCTCCAGTTCTGGCAGCTTGTTTTCTAGATAATTCGGGTGCTTATATTCTTAATTCGATGTCAAATCAGCTCTGGAATTTTTCAACCCAAATCGGGTCCGATGGCACTTTAGAATGTTTTCACTATGATACTTATACAGGATGATTCACAAGTCGTGACCAAAAATGAAACATCATACACAAGTTTAAAAATAAAATATAATATCTTCAAAACCCTCAACTGGAATGAAGTAAAATTTGTAAAGTATTGTCGACATTTAAAATTATTTACCTAAAATTAACGTGCACCAGTGGCGGAGATACCGGGGATTAGTGACATTATTTTTCCAAATAAAAATAGTACGCCACTTTTGAATGTGGTCAATACATAGGTAAATCCACATACCAAATTCTAGTTCATTCCAGTTAACGGTTAAGAAGATATTAATTTTTTTTATTTTGAAACTTCAACACTTTTTAATGAAGCCCTAAAATTGTTATTTACAAAGCTTTGATAGCCATCGATAGGAAAAACGTATTTTAGCACCAAAAAGTCTCAAAAAATCATAGTCAGATTCGGCTTTGGCAACCCAAAATACGTACGATAGTTATCATTTGAACCGCACTTAAAGCATTTTCATTTTTAGGATGTTCTAAAATTGCAAAAATGGGTCAGTCGAGAATGTGATCCCAACCATTCCTATATTACGTTTTTTTGGGTCGCTAAAACCGATTGCGGGGTCAATTCAGTCAGAGAAGTCCTCGTTTTCGAGATAATGGCAAGAATTCCACTTTGTCAAAAAACGACTAATAAAAAATCTCCAAAAACTATTGCGAGTCTATTATCTAGGTGGAAGCTCGTTTTGATGGCAATTTAGTGCTAGGATTCACCGGTAGTCCCGAGTTGAAAGTTTCTTATCAATTTCACCCCAAATAAAGATCCGATGACCCTTTAGATCGTTTTTCTATGATGCTCATATTTAGCGCACCAAATTACTTTATTGTACAAAGTTCCGCTCACATGATAATAGAAATGTTTTTTTTTTGCAAATTCATTTAAAATTATAATATAATGTCAAGCAGAATCAGAACCGCTGCGAAAAGAACTTGATTGATGAATTCAGAAGTGTGCTATTCGTAAGAAATATACTATTTTTCACGAGTACCTATCGCGGAACAATATCAAAAAAAGGATAGCTGATCATGCATGCAAAAGGCAAATTCTTTTTGATCGGTTGTGGTTCTGGTTGGCCCTGAGTGAATTTGGAAAAATTTGAATGGAAATTCTGTCATTTTCATGTCACTTAAGGCCAACCACAACCAAAAGCAATGCAGAACTGTCACATTTTCACCTTGGTCAGCGATAGATACTCGTGAAATGGAAGGCTGTATATTTATGACAGTTTTTTAAATAGTATTCTATAGTCATGAAGCTCATATACAGTTATTCTCTCGGATGGTGGTCGATGAGTCGGTGACTGTGTCTGGCATACGGCCATGTGAATTTAGTCTAAATAGCGTAGCAGAATGAGAGGAATTTGTGTGGCGGGATCCTGGACACGGTCACTGACAGTTGACGACACCTGTACGATTAGGGCAATAGGATAAAATATTTTTTGCCTATTTCATTTATGGAAAAAAAACAAAGTTTTACTATATAAATATATTTAATATCTATGTGATCTAAAATTACATGATCATTAATAGGAAAACTATGATTTTCATTGTCTCTGCTATTTCTTAGGGGAATATGGTATTTTGGTGACTGCATTCGCACTTGGGCGAGGGAAACCCCTAGAAAACCTCAACCGTCACTGCTCAGATTAATTGTATCAGGTGAAGAAAAATCAAGTCGTTCCACAATTCTGGGTTCATTTGTACAATCGAAAATCTATAATCCACCAGCACGCCAGTTATTGACCTAAAAAAAAAGTGGTATTGAAGTAACGGTTTCTACGAGGGTCATTTTTAAGTAAGAACCGTGCAAGTGTAAAAATCCTCGCCTTCGACTCGGATTTTTGTTGCCACCAGTACTCATGCTTCTTGTTAAAATATTACTGAACGTGTTTTTTTGATTTTTTTACAGAAAAATTAGATACCCTTATGATATTACTTATGATAATCCCCCATATTTCTCTCGTCAATCGACATGTGTGTTAAAAAAATCTTTATTGTAAACGTCTCCATGACATTCTTCAGTACAATGACTTTAAGATACGTTACCCTCATCCATAGTCCGGAAGACGCCAAAAGCCTTCAAAAAAAAAGCGAAAACCCACCCGGAACGTATGGGAAACAGGACACCGGATAAAATAGGAGGAAGTCTTCACAATGACAATTCATTACAAAAGGATGATGAAGGAATCACCATATATAAATTTAGCAATAATTGTCTTTCTAGTAGAATGAACGGTAACGCTACAGGATGCGCAATTGGTTCTTACTTTAAAAACGCCCGTCGTAGTTCACTGACATCTTTCTGATAAGTTTTTAGAAAAATAAAATTTGGTGAATGCTATCTTCTATGGCGCCGCTGCTTTTTGCAATAAGTTTCAGAAGTTATATTTCCTGATAGGATTGAGTTATCGGGTAAGACGTCAGTGAAATATGAAGAATAAATAAGTTCGAGATTATGAAAAAAATACCTGTTCATTATGCCGATAATCAATTCAATTGATCTTCATAAAACTTCTGGACCTCATTGAGTTAGTTTCCCAAATATGTCCCTTAATTTCTTCAAAAATTGTATGAAAATCGTGTAACCATTTTTAGAAGCTTTTGCTTGGAACCCGGCTGTATTTCGTGA